CTTAGAATTATTTACGTAATTAAGCGTCTCGCTAATTAAGAGTAATAAATATCGATTTTTAATAATTATCTTATTTAGTCTACGATAGTCGATATATAAATATAAACCTTTATTCTTTTTTGAAATAAAGAGAATTAGAGCTTTTATTAAACTCGTAAAGTATCTTATCTAATTTTTCGCTAAGGCTTCGTCGAGATAGATTTTTAGTATTATTAATTTTACGTTAAATAAGTTATATAGCGAGCTAAATAGTAATTTCGCTATAGTTTTAATAGTATAATCGCGATTCTTATATAATAATAATCGACTTACTTCTTTCGATAAGAATATATCTTTATATTTTTTTAATTTATTAGAAAGTTTAAGAATAATCTTCGCGCTATCTATATAAATACCCTATATTCCAATCGCGTTAATTTTATATTTCTTATTTATAATTATTATTTTAGCTATAACTAATATATAGATAATTTTATACTCTTTTAAGATATTCGCGAATTATTATAGCGCTAGAATCTCGAGCGATTACTTTTTAACGCCGAAACGCTAAATTAAATTTTTTATATTTATCTTAATTCGCTTATCGATTAAAATTAGAAGATTTAAAATTATTAAGAAATCTTTTTTATTAATAATATAGAAAATATGTTTATAGCGCTTAATACGCTTTTAACTATCTTATAGATAATAGATTATCGAGTAGATACTATAGTAATAAGTTAATTTTCTATTTATTTATATAGATTTTAATAAGAAATTATTAATTTTAATTAGATTCTACTTAATCGTAAAACGCTAGCTTATTATATTTACCTCTATACTATTATTAAAATAAATTTTAATAAGAGTCTATAACTCGCCTTAATTATTTAGAAATACTCTATCTTTATAGATTAACGATAAAATAAATATTACTTCTATTTTTATCTTCGTCGTTATAAAGTCTTCGATAAGAGTTTCTCTTTTTCTATCGAGTCGACTATATATAGCTTATAATTATTAATTAAACTCATTAATATACTATTAAGATTTTTTATTTTTTATTTTTTTAATTTAATATAGATAGTAGCGTAATATTCTTTTTCTTTATAATTATAATATTTTATACTATCTAGATAAGACTTATTATTTTTAAATTTATTCTTAGACTTATAATCTCGAATTCGTTTATCTCTTAAATTAAAGTCGTTTTATCTTCGCGATAACTACGATTTCTTAGATTAAAAATTTTAATTTTCTCGCTATTAGCCCCCTTATAAGTTAGAAATACTATTTACTTTATATTCTCTAGAAGATTCTTATTTTTTATTATTATTTTCTAAATATATTATAAGTATTAGAAGCTCGTCTTATTTAATTAATATAATTTAAATATTAGCTAGCTAATAATAAAGATTTAAATAAAACTTTATAAATAAGTAATATACTTATTAATCTTTAGTATAAGAATTTATTTAGACTTTTAATAATCGAAGATAGTTATTAAATTAATATATAGTTTAATTTTATCTTTAATTAATATTTATATATACTTAGACGACGTTAAACTCGCGATTTATTAGATCTTTAATTTAATTTAATAGAAAGTTAATAAACTTCTACTATATATAGTTATAATTCGAAAATCTATTCTTCTTATTAATCTATAATTCTTTCTAATTATTATTAAGAAATTAACGAGTCTAAAGAATCTTATTTTTTGGGATAAAAAAGTTTTTCGAGATTAGATGAAATGCTTTATTTATCTTTTATACTAGAACTTAATACTCTTAAATACTCTTTTTATAATAGATTAATAATTTCTCTAATTAAATTATTTTTCGAGATCGCTAAATAATATTATTATATTCGAGATTAATATTATTTATAATTCTCTTTATTTCTAAAATTACTAATAACCTCGATTTATTATCGCCGCTATTACGACTATAATCTATAGATATTTTATCTTATTTAAGCGAAATAATCTTCGCTTTTAGAGATTAAAGATAATATTCTTATATAAACGCGTCTTAACGATAAATAGCGTACTCTACTCTATTATTTAGAGTATAAATAAATTCATTAATCTATTTATTAATATCTCGCTTATTATTAGAAATACTTTCTTAACTATTAATAGTAATATTATTATCATTATTACTACTCGATTTCTTTATTAAATTATTATTTACGACTAGCGAAAAAATCTTTTTATTAAAGTCTATAATATACTCTAATATATTTAATTATATTATAATAATATTTTAATTCGATATTATATTAATCGACGATAATTTATTTTATAAACGTTAAGACTATACTCTAATAGTAATTATTATACTAATTCTAAATCGCTATCTCTTAAAAGAATTAAAGAATTAGAATTATTAGACTTAAAGAGTCTTAAAGTTATATAGTAATATAAAATTAGAAAAATAGATATATTTATATATCGATCTAATAGTAAAACTAATTCTTTAAAAAGTAAAGAAAACTCGAGGAAGATCGCTTACTTAAGCTTATTCGCCAAAACTCCGCTAAGCGTACGTCAGGCGTACGTGAGCTAAGCAATTCAGGGTCCTCTTACTTAGAACCCTCAAGCCCCTTTTCTAACATTTTTATACTACGGATAATCGACTTAAGCCGCCCGTCGAGCCGCCATATTAGAGTACTCTGCGAACTCGCTATTTTACATCGAAATAGCTATTTCTTTAGCGCTATTACCGCTATCGTTATTAATCTTTTAAGACTCTTTTAAAAGATCTATATCTATTCGTTATTAACGTCTCGAGTATTATATCTTTAAATTGCTATCGCTAGCTACTATTATTAAGAACTAGATATCTAGAATAACTCTCGCGAAGATCTTATAGTCGGCGATATATAGCTAGAAGAATTTCTTTTAATTATTTTATTTAGCTACTCTTATATATATTCTCTAATCTCGAATTAATCGATTTTTAATATATATTAAATAATTAGATAATCTAAAAATAAAATTTTCGAAAAATCGCCTTTTAATAAAAAGTAAAATTTGAATTATATTTAAGTGTAAGTTATAGTTTAATATAGTCGTTTTCAAATTTCGACTTTTTACTTTATCTATTCTATTTTAAACGTCGCGAACTTTAAATATCGTATTTTTTAATTTCGTTCGTATGAGAGGATAGAGATATAGGAGGTATAAGAGAGTATATTTTTTTACGCTTACTACTCGGCGTAAGTTATTTATCTTATCTATTTAATTTTAACGCCGTTAGCATTAAACTTCGTATTTACTAAGTTTCACTTATAAAAGAATACGTGCGAAGAGAAGTATTAAAATTCGAATTACGTAATTTTTAGCGTCTTAACTATTACGTAACTACGTTACGTAATACGTCTTAGCGCGCTCGTATTAAGTCGCTCTTTTCTTTTATAAAACTCTATAGTTAATATAACTAAGTATTCTATCTTTATATTTTAAAAGAGTCGTATCTCTATTTATATTTCTTTTTATTAAAAGACGTAGTCTAGAGTATAATCGTTTTTATCTACTCGATCTTATAGTTATATTCGATATTTATACTCTATTTAAAATATAATAGATAATCGTAATCTCGTAGAATTACGACTATATATATTATATTAAGAAATTTTAAAGCTCTTATTATAATTAGATATTATTATATTCTATAATATATCTCGAAGTCTTTTTTTAATATTTCTTAGAGTCGAGCTCTAGTCTCTTTATTCTATATATACTTACTGATATTTAATATTCTATTATATATCGTTATATAAGAGAGAGAATAGTAATATTTATTAAATCGAAGTTAAGAGCTCGCTTTAATTCTTATAGAGATATGAGATCTAATTAAGATCTATTCGTATATCGATAGCTAGCTAAAAGATATACGACTATTACTTATTATTTACTAACTTTATTATTAAGAAGATATTTTCTAAGTATATTAGATTTAGCTCTCTTATCTAATCTCTTTTCTATAGAAAATCTTTATATAATTTTTATAAACGAGTCGACTCGTCTATAGTCGAAGTCGAGTACTTATAATATTTAGAGAAGAGTTATTAATTAGCGAGAGAGAGAGATATTATTTAATCGAGAGAGATAAAACTTATCGTTATATCGATAATATTAAATTCTTTAAAAAGAATACGTTAATCCTCGATTTAATATATCTTATTATTTAATTTTCGCTTATATATAATTAATCGTAATCGTAATCGAAGAATTCGATTATATATTTATATATAAATATATACTCTCTTAAGATCTCTTAGCTTCTCTAATATACTAAATCGTAAGTTTATATTTATTATAGCTAATAAGTTAGAATCTAATTAACGCGTAGTAGCTATTAAATAAATATAGAATAAACTCTTAAAGATATAGAAATCTTTATTAGAGAATTTATAGTCGATATTATATATAAATAAATCTCGTTATTAATTAAATAGATTAAGTAATCTAATATTAAAACTCGACTTAAGTACTCGTTATATATACTAATATAACTTTATTAATTTAAGCTTAATTATAAAAAATTAAAAATAATTATAATAATTATATTTTATATTCTTTTAACTTTATTTTATAGTTTTAAATTATATTATTATAAAGTAGTAAATTATAAGAATTAGATTTTAAAGATTATAAATCCTAGTAGATTGCAAATCCTAGTGAATACGAGTAGATGCCTAATGTTATGGCATGGCTGTACCTGCCGCCGGAGGTGTTAAGGCTTGGCACGCGATACCTGAGCTGTAGATTTCCTTAGAAGAATAATCAATAAACTTTACCACCAAAACATTGTGCCTATGCTTGTGACATAACACCTAACAGAAATCCAAGTCTTACACACTCTTAATCAACAACGGAACCCAAGTTGAAGAAACCGACCGACCCTCGGGAATTTTATCATCAGTGGTGTCGTCCAAGCTGGTCTCTTTTTCGTCCTTCTGGTGTGAGCAAGGGGCCCCACGCCTAGTGTGGAGACAACAAACAGCGGCTCAAGATGGGAGGTTCTGTGTCACGGATTCTCTCACTACTATGGTCAAAAAAAGAGATTAGGATTTTGATCTTGGGACTTGTATGGCCCACGATCTCTATTCCCGCGCTGTCTGACTTACGTCTCACAGGACAATGCTGGGAAGACAACGCTTCTGTATAGATTAAAGGTGCAGTGTTTCCGCCTTGGGAGCTGTAAATGGGACCAACCGTAATCCGTCCTCCCAGATCGGCGAAGTTGTTACGACCATACCTACCATTGGCTTCAACGTGGAGTCAGTAGTCTATAAAAATCTCAACTTTAACGTCTGGGTAAACTCGCCACACTTCTGCACACCAGTGTTTGGCTACATGCTGAATCAGCCCATTAGGATTTGGGTGGCCAAACATCAATACGACCGTACTGGCGCTGTTACTACGCAAACACCGCGGCTGTTGTCTTCGTGATCGATTCCACAGACATTGAAAGATTGAATACCGCGGCGGAAGAGCTCGCAGCAATGCTTAATGAAGACGAGCTACGCGATGCCGGACTACTCGTATTTGCAAATAAACAAGATCAGCCTGGAGCAAAAGGGGCCGGAGAGATTTCAGAAGCTTTGCGATTAGGTGAGCTGCGCGATAGAAATTGGAGCATAGTGGCGTGTTCAGCGATTGATGGAAGCGGAATTGCGGAAGGCATGGATTGGATGGTGGTAAGCACTCCACTCCACCAAACATTGAAGAGCAGTAGTTTGCTAATTCTGATTGTTAGCAAACCGTCAATTCAGAATCATAACATATCACACGTAGCGACAGTGCATTCAGATACCCAATGTTACACTTTGGCACGTCGATCGCCCTGAGATTTATTAGCCGGGAAGTTTTGAGGACGCAAGCATCTAGCGCAACACGACTGGGGGCACATCAAGCTCGACAAATGAATCCGAAATGCTCATAGAAGGGGAAATGCCAAATGCCAAGGGCACATGAATATTGAATGGGTTTCGAATATTGACATCGAGCCCAAAAGATGAGTTATTTTGGGTATTGAAGTGATGGATCTATTCTACACGAAACGCGCAGTTGTCGCGATCGGCTCTCTGAGACCGCAAACAGTTTCGAGATCAGAGGTTCAAGAGTGATTGTGTGAGAAGCACTTCGAATCACAAACCGAATGGCAGTATACCACAAATGTCCAAACAATGGTATTAGTGTTCGGCTGACTTCTTGCGGCCCGAAGACACCGCGCTCATACACTCTCAAATAATAGCCGGTATCTTCGGTCGACTACTCCATCAGCGACGTCTGGAAAAACGGCTAAAAGATGTCTGCCTTGCAACTCAACTAGGCACATTGCAGACTTCGTTTGACACGAAGCACGACGATCGTTTTGGCCATTTGCAGTGCTCGGAAGGTGTCTCAAGATCGAAGAGATCTACTATTGAAATCTCCAGCCAGAAAATAGAAACTTATGGAGGTGCTACTCTCTTTGGGTCACTGCGTCTGCTGATTTCCAGCCAAACAAGGTTCGAAATTAGTATTAATATTAGGGCACGAACATCGTTTCAATCTCAAGACAAGTCTGAGTAGGTCTTGCAACTCAACCTGGCTCGAAATTACACGAGTAAAAACCTACAGCGGAGTAACATAGCCTAACTTCTTTAATACATAAGTATGGGAAACTTCGTGGGGCAGACCGAGCCTTTTGCTCGCGAGACATCTCTTGATTCACCAGTAGTAATCTTTGAGTAAGATTGGTACCAAAATGCAAACTTGCTCCAGCACTCCCTCGCTCTGGTCCACACCTGATAGGGTTGGGAGCACACGTAAATTCGTGCTTGTTCTTTTGATATCTTGTTGAAAGCGGCGATGAATGCAGTCCGAAGCAGCAGGATGTCTCCAAACTTGAGCTCTGTCCTTTAGGCTTTAGCAACGGCCTTGAGCACGGTGCTAGGACGAGGTGACAGTCGAAGCGGTGCAGATTCCTTAAATATCGACCAGAACTCCTCCAAAGAGTGTGCTGTTTCAGAAACATATTATCTTCCAGGTCGATGCCCAAGTTGAGGTGAAATGAGGAAAGGAAGCTTTCCGCGTCTCAGATTAACATTCTATCTGGCAGCTTGCCCAGCCTCTCACCTCTGTACGCCTGAATGACCGAGTCTACCCTACTTGAATTCTCGGAATTTGCAGGGATGCTGCCTCAGAATCTCCACCGTCTAGTGCATGAAGCCGCCGCTTGCAGGGATACGCGAACTTTTATAAATCTTTCTGACATCTACAACATCTTCAAACACTCAATCTACCACAATTCCCCCTTTCCATACTACCACAGCAATGAAGAAAGCTCCAGATACGAAACAAGAGCCCGCCAAGACTACCAAGTCCAGGGGTTCAGTGCCCACGAAAGCTCCCGTCAAAGCTCCCGTCAAAGCTCCCTCTAATCCGAGGAAGCGCAAGAACGATGAGAATGAAAAAACACCTCCGCCACCTGTGAAAAAGGTTCGGGTTGTAAAGCAACCTGCTACAAAGCCAAAGTCAAAAGTTGCGATCAATCAACGCCCCAGTCAACATCTAGACGTTTACGTCTTTGGCGAGGGCTCGTCGTCTGAGCTGGGACTGGGAACTGCCAAAACTGCTATAGATGTCAAACGGCCTCGCCTCAACCCTTTACTTTCGGCCAATCAAGTTGGTATTGTCCATGTAGCTTGCGGAGGGATGCATGTGGCAGCCCTGACTCATGACAACAAGATTTTGACATGGGGGGTCAACGACCAGGGAGCGCTGGGACGTGATACTACGTGGGAGGGTGGTTTGAAGGACATGGATGACAATGATAGCGACGATAGTGACAAGAGTGACAGCGGGTTGAACCCAGCTGAGAGTAGCCCGACCGCCGTTCCAGCCTCGAGCTTTCCAGGAGACACGCAATTTGTCAAGCTGGCTGCTGGTGACAGCCACACACTTGCTCTCACCGATGATGGTCATGTCTATGGATGGGGAACCTTCAGGGTAAGCACTTTCCTCCAACACCTCGACGTATCTTTATAGTAGGACTAACGATCACATATAACAGAAAAATGACGGCGTCCTCGGTTTCCTCCCTAACACGGATGTTGAAATTCAACACACACCGATTCTCTACCCCGACCTCAAGAACATTGTCGACATCAGCAGCGGTGCCAACCATGCAATGGCTATTGACAGCAAAGGTGCGGTCTTTATTTGGGGTTCTGGCGAGCAAAATCAGCTTGGATACCATATCATCGAGCGTACTGGTACTAAAGGTGTCAAAACTACCCTCAAGCCTCAGCCTCTTCGCACGAGAATCAAAAAATACAAGGCTATCTACACCGGCTCAGACCACTCGTTTGCCATTGATAAGGACGATCATGTCTGGTCTTGGGGCGTAAACAGCTTTGGTGGCACTGGTATTCGCAAGGGCGCTGGTGATGACAATGCAGTGGTCTATAATCCAACCATGGTGGAGACTCTGGACCTAGACGATGACACCATAACCCATATGGAGGGCGGCCAACACCATTCAATCGCAATCACACAGAAAGGCAAGGCACTGATTTGGGGTCGCATTGACGGATATCAGACCGGTCTCGACATGGCAACTGTCCCACTCACGTCCACCATTCAGGACAGCAACGGCAGGCCACGGATCGTAATCGTGCCTACAGCTATTCCTAATGTCGGCAAGGCCACCTATGCCTCAGCTGGCACGGATCATACGATTCTCCTGAATGACTTGGGCCATGCATACGCTTGGGGTCTAAGTGCTACATATCAGACTGGGCTTGGTACTACGGACGATGTCCAGCATCCTACACGCATCGACAATACTGCAATCCGGGGGAAGATGCTGAACTTTTCAGACTGTGGGGGGCAGTATTCGATTTTAACTTCAGCTGCTGCGTGACCATCAGAGGCACAGATTTCTTCGTTTCAAGGAGTTGAAAGGCATGATACCTATAGAAAAGGGAGAGGAGTCTTGACCTAGTTTAAGTCGTTTCGGTCTTGGCGTATCGACATCTAGAGTGCACTCACTTTGTGTCTAAACATGTCCTAAAAGCGCCAAACCTCATACCATCTCTCTCTTGCATAGCGGTGTTGAGACTAAGACCTGCAGTCGTTTGGCGGTTGCATGGCCAGATTCGTTTCCTAGCATTGATCTTACGATAGAGCAAAAAGTAAGCGTCTGACGGCGTGAGAGAATTCTATCATCATGCCCTTTATCCTTTAAACAAGATACAAAGACTTGATCAACCTCATAGAAGCGTCAGAAAAATCTATCCTTCACCTGTATCCGAGCCTCTTCGTAGGCGATTGCCCTTCCAGCCCATACCCTCCCTTGTCCGTGCCCTGCATGCCTATGTGATTTTGGTAAGGTATGTAAAAATGTTCGTTCCCGGGCGGAAAGCCGATCTGCTGTTGGGGTGAATGATGCATGTAAGCTGGATGCTGAGGCGGCGGAGGATGATGGGTTTTAGCCCTCCACAGCCCGAACGTCAGGTTATTGACTGTGAAGCAGCCTACTATGACGGAGACGCTAACGATCTACATGAAGTGGTTAGACATGTCAAGACTGCAAAGGGGAGAGTTGAAGAGAAGGAACGTACTATTGCCTTCAGTGATATTGGCTCAATGAAGCTGTTGACAATCTCCGCGAACATGCCAGCACTGAGCCTTGATCTTCCCACTTTGTACGGATCCCGTTGCATACACTTCTCCCAACTATTACACACCGTCTCCATGGCTGGCACCCTACTGTCCCTTTCACATTTGTTTTCCTGAAATTCTCGTGCACAAACGGCCATCTCTGCAAGTATTTCTGACGATTCCATCATGGCCCTTTCAGTAATATCGTTGCTTATTGTTGAGAAGATTCCGTAGAGCACGTACATGACGCAGAACGCGAGGAAGAAGTTTAGCAGGAATTGGACGTAGTAGGAGAGCGTATTGGGTAGGCCCGGGTGTGCATCAATGAAGGTAAGAACCGAGGGTATGAATCCCATTTGCCGTGCGGTCTTAAGATTTTGTTGGGTTCCTTCACCACTGCCTGGTGGCTCTTCGAAGTCTGAATCGTTGTTTGAGCGTCGTGACGCTGAGCGGACGTCTGGGCCACCATCTCGTCTGCGACGCTTTTGAACTTTGCACTTGCTGCGAGTCACAGCAAGATGGGATCTACGACCCACCTCGCCACGCCCCAGACTCGAGAACTTGCTCAAAAGACCTGGTGATGACGGTTTCTTTTTGGATTCCTTGCCCTCGAATTGCATCATGGCGCCCTTAGTCATGGACAACACCCTTCGAGCTGATGGTTCTGGGGTATCGTCGGTATCCACATTCACAGGAGACGACATTTCAGCGCCGGAGGAAAAGTCTGTCTCTATTGATTTCTGCGGGGTGGTGAAGGGAAAGTTGCGAAAAGAGAAGGGAGGCTTCGTCGAGGGCGTTGATGGAGGAAGGAAGATCTGTGACCCGGATGGGCCAATGGACGGTACAGAAGTCTTCGAGGGGGAATCGAGGAAACTCGCTGAACCTGAATGTACTGCGCGTCAACTTATTTTCACTTTGCTGCACCTAGGATGTTATACACTTACGCTTTTGACCCGCAAAGCCTCCTCTGTTCTGACTGCTATCTGCGGCGCCCTTTAGAAATGGTGAATCTGTATCTGTTGGGCCATGACCTTCTTGCCATTGCCAGTCCATAGGACTTTCATGCGATCGCACATCTGTGTTCAGGCGGGCCATTTTATTCGTAAGCGGACTGATGGTGAAGACTGTGGCAACTCAAAATCTGCGAGGGAAGCAAGGTAAACAAAACTATTCAACTAGCGTTGTTGTGAGCGCCGGGTAGGTTACGTGAATTATTACAATCGTTGTACGGTTACTCTTATCTTACCATGGTGCACCGAGAACAAAGCGTTGATTTGGATTTTATGACCTTGATTGTCTATTGACTTTATGGACAAAAGCTTATCATACTGGTAATCCAATTTCGACTAAGCAAGAATAGAAAACGAGAGCACATATCGTGACACAGGTCACAACCTTCCGTTGCTGGCTCATTCTTTCCAACACCATAACCTTCTGAGGACTCCAGGGTCTGGAAGACCGCAACACCATGAGAATCCACATGCAATTGCTTAAGGAATGTGAAAGGGACGCGACTGCGGAACTCAGCCCTTACACAAGCTCAAAGTCATCATCGTCAGCGGCATATCCCGCATGCGTATCCTCCTTCTCATTGCCAACAACCTCGTACTCCTCTTTGACCAGCTTCTCCATTGCCTTGGTCTCGAACTTCTCCACCGCCTTTGCTAGGGCAATACCAAGAATTTGGCTGCCTTTACCAGGGCCTCGCGGTGCATCGTAAGAGTAGGTATAGCCAGCGTCAAGCTCTGGCGCAGCTGATGCTTCTTTGACATCTTCCTCGGTCGAAGAGTCGGAGGTGCAGGTATCGTGGTCAAAGCGAGATTCGTGTTTGCGAGAGATCTTAGCGACTTGGGCAGCTTTGTTCTGCTGGAATTCAACCTCGCGTCGGACCGCCCTGCTGTAGCTAAGCAGCAACATTTTTAGAGCCATCACGTCTCCGGGCATGGATGTTTGCTTACCTCGTGGGGTATGGCTTTGCAGGGCGTCTGCTAGGGTGTCCCCGGGTTGGGAGCCCTTCTCCGAGGGCCCACTTATGCTTCTGGTCCAATTCGCGTTTGTGATCTTGCTCGAGCTTGTGCTCCTTGGCCAGATCGTTGAGACCGATGTTAGACATAAGTGCTTGATACCCGGGGCTGAGTGTAGAGCGTAAAGAGATTCGTTCAATGAGAGGCGGATTGAATATAGACTCCAACTGTGCCGCTGGAAGTTTATTGGATGTTCACAATGAGGCAGAAGGAAAAGATGTAGGGGAGGGTGGTGAAACGGATGGATGGCGTGATATGAGGGGGGTATGAAGAGGATAGACAGGTGAGGCGGATGAATGATATATGAGTATTGTCAGTAGGGGTGACTACTTGCAGACGCGTCTGAGTCACCGGCAAACAAAGGCAGGTGCAAGGGAACAAAGCAGAAGAGAGACTTTGACTTGTGAGGGAAGAAGGACGGGTGACTCGATGAAAGCAGATAGACAGATAGACAGATAGACAGATAGACAGATTCAAGCTTTGAAGGCAGCTTCTCAAAGGCCCCAACAGGTTTAGGAGCTCGGGGTACCAAGCCTGGCCATCGTGACGATACGGAAGGCGGGGGGCGATAAGGCGGACGCGCACATGTTCACTCCAGCTCCATCACTGGCCCGTCAGCTTGCTCAGCCACTACCGATTCAACCAACTCTGGCAGGAATGGAGGAATTATCGTACTACCCGATGCATCTATTTGTTTCATTGTGGGTTTGGGGCTTCTCATATGTGCGCATGTTCTATTATTGGACCCCAACGAGAAAAGCGTTCAAGTAAATTCGGTACTACGGTGGTCGAACAGGGCTATCCTATATTCCGAATACCTACTTTATGACATGACCTCGTACTCCTCCAAAATGACTTCGGCTATCATGTGATCAATGAGTTTGAAACAGCGTCAAAGGAAACCCTGTTTTCTCTTTCCATAATGAGTACTCGGCTTCCGAAATAACCCCCATTCCTCAATCACGATGATTAAAAGGGCTCACGTATCTGCTATAAGAATAACACACCACGCATAATGAACCTCAACGTTGTGGTAGCTTCCGTCTCAGTGTATCCCCCATTCCTCTGACCAAAGACAACTTGGAATGATCTTTTCTGGAGCTCACGAACGATGAAATGAATAACTGGAGTTTCGATTTTCGTAAATCAGCCACTGCCCTCTTCTTCTTCTGACTCACTAGCCTCAGCCCCGTCGCTCGTTAGGAACTGAGGAAACCACCCATATGCGCTCAGATCTACCGTTAGTTCTCCTAGATCGCCAGTTCCAACAGTGACTCCTTCTGCGCACACTTCAGAGTCAGCGTTGCTTTTCAAAGGCCTCACAAGACATGTCTTGGGATTGGAAAGGGTCTTCTGCTCCGGAAATATGTCTTGCAACTCAGCACTCGGCACCGAAAAGGAGGGAATTAGGTACTCCGAAATGTACGAACCTCGCCCTAGGAACGCCGCTTGTCTCGTAGCACCGCCTGGACCTCTGTGACTCTTATCAAAATTGACAATTTAGCTCCATTGAGTTCTGACTGCCGACCTTGGTGATATGATACCTTTGGCGTTGATGACTCGTTGCCATGGAACGTTAGCATCGTGGAAATGATGATTTGTGTTTGCTGAGGAAGACGGTAGATGCTTTAGACAGACGCCGACCTGTCTACAGTTCGATAAGCTCTCAATCCGTCGACGTGCTTTCCGGAGACTGCTGACCGAGGACGTTCGGCTAAATCAAAATGGCACATCAGGCGTGTTTCACAGCAGATGAATAAAGTAGTGGCCGGAACGGAATCTTACTTACACCTTCCTAGCAAACGAGCAATATGACCGTAGCTTGTAACACGTCCCCTAGGGACTTGCTGGACTGCTGCGTAAACGGCATTGAACCACCACTCCGCTTCATCACTACGGGCCATTTTCTTTGCCCAGCTAAGTTTGATTTGATGTATAAAGGTGGTAGAGGAGCAAGTCTTGATTGATACTGAAACGCGCTTCGCGTTTGCCTAAATTATAATAAAATAAAAGATAGCCGCGGCTGCCAAGCTTTTCCCCAGAATTCGAGATCTTGCTCAAAATTCAATCAAGCTCCAGATTATCAAGTATGTCCCTCGCGGACTACCTTGCGAAAAACTACCTGACAGCGGACTCGAAGCAGCAGAAAAAGTCAAAGAAGCGCAAGCGGAAGGACGGTGCAGCCTCGGGTCTCATAATAGCAGACGATGATGCCTTAGGCTGGGACCGTGACAGCACGGGCAACGCTGACGACGATGCACCGCTGGAAGGTGAGAAATATTTGTCCTCCTGCCTTCAACCGATTGTCCCACTCTTTGACCCTAAGTTATCAGTGAACGCAAACAGCGCCGAATTTCGCAAAGCAAAAAAAACAACATGGCAGACCATCGGCACTCCAACACCTTCCTCCAATGAACAAGCCGCAGCCGACGCTATTCTTACATTTTCAGCTGCTGAATCTCGGGCTCGTGCTCTCGCGGATGATGATGCCCCTACTATGGAAGATTCGGCCATGAAAATGGAATCGGGCGCCCATGCGGGGCTACAGACGGCGGATCAAGTCACTGCACAGCTGAAGCGTAAGGAAGCCGAAGAACGGCGAAGGTTCCTGGAAGACGGAGACGACCATAGCGGCAAAGGGAAGGAAACCATATATAGAGATGCCAGTGGCCGCATCATCAATGTGCAGATGAAGCGGGCGGAAGCCCGTAAAAAAGCCGAAGAAGAAGCGGCCAAAGCAGCGGCGGAACTCGAAGGTCAAAAGGGAGACTTCCAGCGAGCCGAGAAGGAGAAGCGCAGAGAGCAGCTGAGTGAGGCGAAGTTTATGCCTGTAGCGAGGTACGCGGATGATGTGGAGCTGAACGAGGATTTGATGGAGAGGGAAAGATGGAACGATCCAGCAGCCGGGTTCCTTGAGAGGAAAAAGGAGGGCAAAAGTGTCAGCGGGAAACCGTTGTACAAGGGACCTGCAACGCCGAATCGATATGGGATTAGGCCGGGTCACAGATGGGACGGGGTTGATAGAGGAACAGGATTTGAAAAAGAGTATTTTGCCGCTAGGAATCGCACGGCAAATTTGAAGAATCTTGATTACGCTTGGCAAATGGATGAATGAGAATGCTGGTTTCGCAATGGGCTTGCTTGCATATGGACAATATGCATAGTGGCGAGGCGTGAGTGGGGGAACATCATATGGGTTTCGCTGCCAAGGCTGTTGGTCAAATGCATGCACACGACCCAAATCGTAGCTCAATATAGGAACTACAGTGGCATTATGAAATATGCGATTTGGGCAGGACGCCTCAGGGTGAGTATGGGCGTATGCAAGAAATGCCCAAGGAACGATTATGAATACAAATGATAAGGCAGGACGGCATTATGAACGCTAGTCAACGCTTCAGGCATCCATGAAAACCCGTTGCTTTCATTGTTGCTTCCTACTCTCTGCTGGTGCCATCTTCTCAATGAGACCCATGCCGATCGAAGATGATTCTTCCCAGCTTCGCTGCCTCAACCAGAACTGATCCTGGGGAGTAGAGCTCCTCATACTGCCTTGTCGAGCTTCTTCCTCCAGCGATGACCGCGTGATCTTTTCTCTGTCCATTGGTGGCGGCAGCTCCATTGCATCTTCCCCGAAGGATTCTTCGAAATAGCGTTTACGAACCATGAACCGTTCTGCATGCTCCTTTTGCATTCCTGGCGAGTCCATTTTGGAGATCGCTAAACGTACTGCAAGGCGAACCAAGAGATATATATGCTCGGAGAAGAAGACGGTCAGGAGAAAAGCCCATCCTTTGATGTCTGCTGGCGTGCCGTCTGGGCCTAAGCCATCATTGCTGAAGAGATATACGAGGGCGGCAGTAGAAATGCTGCCTAACCATGTAAGAAATCCCAAGCTATCCAGCCATGGTCCAATGCTGTCGACTCGGTGCGGAGTTGGGCGTTGCATCTCAACGCAGATCTTGACAGCGTCCGAGCGAAGTTCCACCCAGTTGTTGATGAGGAATGACACAGCCGTCACCGGCCATACCACCGAAAAAAGGGTCAGATAGCCAAATTGGACAACCATCTCTCTCAGATCCGTAGACACATCGTAGACATCGAGCTCGGCCTCGCCGCGGACTCTTGCAAGAAACTCGGCTTCTTCAGGCAGATCGTTCGCAGCTGCGTTTGGAGCAGCACCTCCCTTCCTGGCGGCTCTCTCGGTCTTAAGCTCTTGATACTTGTGAAAACCTCTGCGCTTGACGTAAGGGACGATGGTCTCCATCGCGAAGTTGACTATTTGCGCTGTGACAGCGAAGTAGATAACCTGCTTCCGGAGCCTTGCTGGATTGATGGCAAACCCCGCTTTTGGAGTCGCAAGCTGCTTCTCATTTTCCGCAAAGGGACGCGCAGTCAGCTGGAAGATATCCAGATAAGGCACGATTAAGCTGCCAAACGGCACGTAGACGAACGCTGTTAGGAAGACTGGAAGGTATGAAGTGATGAAGTTGAGAATGAAGATTTTCTGGGTCATGGCAGAATCATAAGCGTCGGTGGTTTCCCAGTTTTCGTAGTTGTTAAGTCGCGTCGCAATCTCGGTCAGTATCGTTGTGATTGTAGGGACCAAAGCTGTGAGAAGTAGCGTAGGGAGGAATACCTACATGGGAATCAGTGTCTTGAAAACATCGCTGAGGACCACTGGCTTTACCAGAATACTCTTGAATGGTCCATTGTAGACCTCGGATAGGAAGATCTCAATGCCAAAACAGGTGGCTATAATTAGTCCAAGTGCCAAAGATGCCAGGACAGCAAACGGTAGCTGGAGAAGCTGTCTATACAACCTCTTCGTTGCTGGGAAGACCTGTACAGCCTCACCAGTGATCGGATCTTGGATTTCCTTTTCGTGCTGAAACTCTCTTCGCTTCTCCTGAATGGCTGAAACACCTTTCACGCCCCAGCGGATACCGAGATCTACCTCTTGCCGTTTCCAGTATTCGATAAAAACCACGCTCCACAGACAGTTGACAACTGCGTAGATGGACGAGAAATGGCCTAACAAGACCCACGACGAGAAACCGAAGGCCGCAGGGAAAATTAAAAAGGCAAAGTAGGATTGTGTGAAGGCGAAGTAGTATGCGACTTTCTCGCCGAATCGATTTCTGATCTCGTCCAAGTCCTCCACTTTGAGAAACGTCACGGTCGCCCATTTCTTGATCCATTCCTTGTTGAAGGTATGATCGTGGAGTGGGAAGATAGACTCTACGTTCTTCCATTGACCATGAGTGGGAACGATCCCAGCATTTCCTTCTTCCTTTGGACCTGTGATCAGCTGGTGGACTATACGATACCGTTCAGCTTCTGTCAGCGGCTGGCTTGTCAACGAGTTCTGCGTTTCCCGATCCGGCTGGGCGGGCCTTATGCCGTAAAGCCAGTCCTTTACTCTACAGCTTCTGTTAGATGACTTATAACATTTATGATTTTGGTGCGCACCTGGAGCGATAGATGGCGTTGTTGAGACGCTCATCGGAAGCCACTTTGACGAAGATCAGAAGGGAGCAATTCCCTCCGTTCCGAACCTCAATCGCGAGGCCTACCCTAGCCAGTGCCTGCACAAGGTCCTGAAAGCTTCTTGAAGCCTCCGTCTTAGCTGTAAGAGTTGGTCTTGTCAGACAGATGCTTTCCACGGGAGGGATTACGCGACTTACTGGAATCCGCGAATCTGTAAATAATGACATAGTCAACTTTCAAGTTGTCATGCGGTATATTATGGTGTGGAGGCATGTTTGCGCTCAGAGTCAGTCTTCTAGATTCAAAAGTCTCGAGGTCTGACTTGACTTCCTCTGACTTGACTTCCTCCAAACTTGGAGACTCAGACAGCGGAGCTTGGAAAGTTGGAGGAGGCTAGACGTCATCGCGCTTCGCGACAAACAAGGGTAAAGTAGTCTACTCGGAAGGGGTTGGCACGTTGGTACCTTCTTGGTCGTGATCGGAAAACCCTTTTCTCCGGGCCGAAATTCCTCCTGCAGAACCACTGCGTCTGGGTATTATTAGTCATTGTTCCCCGAAGTTCGAGGAATGATTTTCTGTTAGGACTGCGGTTCATTTTCCACAAGAGGCTACAGTCGATCGATCCTACAGCCTCTTTCCCATGGCCTCTCTACTCATACCTCCACCCTCCCCCTTCGAGCCGCCTTCTATCCCATATCGCCTGCTTAGCTCACCGCTGAGATTCTTGACTCAGACGCTCTACAACCTTATTCTATTTCTGCGGGGCCCGTCTACCTCCAAGCCTCCATCTTCAAGTCAAATCCGTATTGTCTGCATTTCCGACACCCATACACACAAACCTACTTTCCTACCTCAGGGAGACGTCCTAGTGCATGCGGGTGACCTTACCAGTGACGGCACAGTTGCCGAGATTCAAGATCAGATTGATTGGATATCTTCTCTACCTTATGAGCACAAGGTCGTCATTGCTGGTAATCACGACAGTTGGTTTGATCCACGAGCAAGGCGGAAAACCGATGCTGGCAAAGCGCCACGGTGGGGTGATGTGCACTATCTCCAGCACTCCAGCGTTCAGCTCACCTTTCCCAGTCAAGCGCACCGCCAGTTGCGCTTTTATGGCGCACCACAAGTCCCCCAATGCGGTGGGGAGGATTTTGCCTTCCAGTATCATCGAAGCGACGATGCGTGGTCGTACACCATTCCACCAGATGTCGATGTCTTAATCACCCATACGCCACCAAGGCATCATCTGGATCTGCCTGCCGGATTAGGATGCGATTACTTGTCAAAGGAGGTCTGGAGAGTGAGACCCAAGGTACACATCTTTGGGCATATACACGCAAGCCACGGTCGTGTACAGGTGTTCTGGGATGATACACAGATACTGTATGAAAAGTTGTGTTCGAGGGAAGTCAAGGGCGTGGTTAGGGATATGGTGGCCATCCTAGCCTGGCTGGATATGATGAAGTTGGCAATGTACGGCATTCTGAGTATACTATGGTATAGAGTCTGGGGTGGAGATGGAAGGGGGACGGTAATGATTAACGCGGCATTGATGTATAGAAGTACAGGACGACTTGGGAATCCTGCGCAGACTGTAAATATATAAGAACAGTGTAAGCCTAAGTATTTTTCGCGACTTCTTTCGTATTCTATTTACATAAGCATATATATGGGCATGCGTAAAAGAAGTTTCACTGCAAAACACCGCAAGATATTAGAGACTGACATGCTCATAGCTTCGCCTTCTCCTGTGGGTTTACGAGCGGATCATAGATGGTCATACCCAAGGTATCTGCTGGCACTGAAGTCGAATGCATGCTCAGGCCTCTAGTGTCCAGGAGCGTGGGGTTGAGTTGATCAACCTTGGAGCAGCCAACTAGCACAATTCCTGAATCAGCACTCTCATTCGTTGATGAAGATTTGAGAAACAGGATATCGTTGAGGAATAGAAAGGGTGGATTGGGTAACTTGTTCCTCCAGCATGTCTCAGGACTCAAAAAGCAATCTCGAACAGGAAGAGACAACTCCGAAAAGTGCCTTACTGAGTCTCATGTTCATCTCCATTTCATCTTTCAGCAATTGCCTATAGAGGTTTCGGGGTCAGCATCTCTTCTTCGAGGCAAGTCTCCAATCAGACAGCTTCAGGGGAGTAAAAGACCCTTTCTTCGCGAAACATGTCTTGTGACTCGGAATGTGGTACTGAACAGGAAGAATAGGCTCCGAAATGTACATACATGGCTCGGTCCACGCCAGGCAGTCCGTAAGCACTCATAGCATATAGAAACGGTCTGCCAATGCCCACCCCTCTTGCGCCCAAGCACAACGCCTTGATTATGTCAGTAGAACGTCGAATACCGCCATCAATATATATCTCGATCCTATCCTGCCAATTACGTTCACGCAAGACGGGCATAACTTCAGCAAGAACTTCGATTCCTGACCTTGCAAAGTCGAGCTGGCGGCCACCATGGTTGGAAAGTACAACACCTTGGACGCCAACCTCGATAGCTCGGATGACATCTTCAACCCTTTGTACACCCTTAAGAAGGATTGGCATACTCGTCACGCCGAGGAACCAGGGAATATCTTTCCAGCTAAGTGATGGGTCGATGAAGGAAGAGATAGCACGTGCAGCGCCTTGGGATCTATCCACGTTGTCGCCGCCGGTGTTTTGCACATTCGATCCCACATCAGAAAATTTGCTGCGCATATCCTTCTCCCGGCGGCCGAGCTACGCACATTTCGGAGTCAGCGTTGTAGAAAGAGTCTTCTGCCCCAGAACTATGTCTTGCAACCCAGAATTCGGCATAAAGAAGGAAGTGATTACTCCGAAACGTACGAACCTGAGGTGCATCGACAGTAATGAAGAGACCTCTACACCCACGATTCTCGGCATGTTTGATTATACGTTCCGTAATTGCGCGGTCTTTGTTTACGTAGAGCTGGAGCCATTGTGCCTGGTCACCCTGCCTGGCATCGACAATCTCGTCAAAAGAACAGCTAGCGAGTGTGGGAATCATCTGGATGACATTATGTTTCTTCGCACCACGTGTGAGTATTACTTCGCCTTCGGAATTGCCAAGTTTACCTACAATCACATTAGAAATGCAGGTTCTCCGATGGAAGTGCCAGGATAGCGCTACTGACCCAGTGCTGTCGCAGTGACATAGAATGGAATGTCTACTTTAGTTCCAAGCATTTGGGTGGAGAGATCTATATTTTCAACATCGTGAAGGATTCTTGGTCGAAACCATATCTTATGGAAGGCTGAATGGTTTTCTCGCATCGTCTCGTACACTGTCAGTATTTTGCAAGAATGGTACATCATTGGCTCACAATCTCATCATCTGATCCGCTGGAGTAGTAAGCCCATGCGGTCTTCTTCATTACCCGTCGCGCCACAGCCTCAAAGTCCATTAGGTTGTAGCATTGTTCCAAAATCGGCATGCGTTTGATTCTCTCTTGCCGTTCTTCTTCATCGGGGTCGAATTCTTTTTCTTGTTCCACTGTATCCATGTTCACTTCTCCCAAGTGCTTCGATTTATCAAGAAACCTGGTCGTTTTCAGCTCTTTACTCACCTTCAGTCCTAGAAGTCTGAAATGGTTTCTAACTTATCAAGGGTGTCCGGGGGGTGTATAGGATTGTACGTCTCGGTGGCATCTTTGCCAGCCCACTTAAGAATGACTGTATCCAATGCTTCAGTGTACGAGTCTGTTTCTCCTTGGCGTAGTGGACTCACTGGATTTACCTCCTGGGTGCTCTTCTTTGAACTCGGTGACATCGTAGACTCTACCGTGGATAATGACCCTGCCGAATCGATGGTTCAGTGGAACAGAATAACGGCAGCGGGGAGGTTGGGGGAAACCAACCAGCAGTCTTTGTCATTATTATGTTTGGCCACTTCTTCGCCACGCAGCTTTTGCTCCTTTGGCTGCTGATCATTCGACTCGTGGTTCATATTGAGCGAGGTCTTGATTTCGAGAGATGCTTAATGCTAGAGAGACAAACCAAGAGACAGAAACAATGATGGCAAAAAGAGCTTGTAAAGTAAAACCCTGGCGGTAGACCGCTTTTGAGAAACGAAAGGGGGAGAACAGTAGTTAACAATGATGCAGCGCTTGCTGGGATGCTTGCAACTCCGAAACGAACATTGCCAATTATTTGCCGGATGGGCGATGAAGCTTCGGGCAATGGGCGGCGCTGAGCAGGCCTGGGGTAGAGCATTGTCGATCGTTTTGCGGGGACTAAGCGCCGGAGATAAACAAGGTGGGGTTGGTGAAGGAAGTGAGGGATTGGATTGAGAGACTCTAATCTTACTCTATCTGACCTCTTGCAATAGTGGATGCGAACAAGTCAGACTTTCGTTGCGTGATTAGATACTCCTTTGAATTCTCACAAAGCTGAATCATGTTCGCTTGGAGAAGATGGGCAGGGGAAAAGGCAGCCAGTCACCAATAAAGCCTGCACACCCCAAAATCTGCAAATCTACCACAACTTGTCAACGAGTGGTCATAACAAAAGGCTTCCGCTTCATATGTTAAAGATCACATCAGAAATAATAAGTCTCGCCGCAAAACATATTTTGTAAAGACAATATAAATAGAATTATTTCAAAGAGTAAAATAAGGGGATTTCTTGGCGTGTGCAGGCTTTTTTGACCCCGCGTGCCCCTGGTGCCAGTCTGCCAGATGAGAATTGCGGCTAGGGCTGACGGGAGATCGTTAAATCCGGAAGGAGTGGGCGCGAGTTTCCAATCACCGCCATCAGAAGACGTCGACAAGATAGATTCTTTTGTCGACTAAAACAGCCATAGAGCCAACGCAAAATTCATCATGGATGATAAATAATGTCCAATAGCCTCGAGGCTAAAATTTGCGTCCTAGGTGCGCAAGGTTCGTTACCACACAACAAACATGGCATTTTCTGCTCAGGTAGCTAGCTGATCGCGCGTAGGTGTCGGTAAGTCAAGCTTATTAGACCGATATATCAAAGGATCCTTTAGCCCATCCAGCGTCACATCAACTATCGGGGCGTCTTTCCTCACTAAGAGGGTGGTTGATGTTGACACCGGAACTACGGTACGCCTCCGTACGTACATTTCGGAGCTGATCCTTCCTATTTGGTATTGAAGTTGAGTCGCAGGACATGTTTCGGGAGCAAGAAGGCCTTTCTACTCCCGGGACCTGTCTTGCAACTCCATTTCCGATCTCGAATAAACAATGCTGACTCCTGAATCTGCGTAGAGCTATGGGACACAGCAGGTCAAGAGAGATTCAGATCCATCACAAAACTGTACTACAGAGGAGCAAGTGCAGTACTCCTTGTCTACAGTATCATAGATGAAAGCAGCTTCGAAGAGATGGGACGCTGGTTGACGGAGATGAGGGAGAATCTTGGGAATGATATCGTCATACACGTCGTAGGAACGAAAAGCGATGTGGTCGCGCAAGAGCCCAGTCTAAGACAGATTCCATTCGAAAGATGTATAGCATATGTTGCAGAGAACCTCTATCCGCAAAAGGTCTCAACCCCTACCTTCCCTGGAAGCGCTCGCAGCAGCGGTTTCTGGGGCCAAGAAATTGGTACGTCACTTCGGAGCAACATCCCTCTAATTCGTACCCCGGTTTGATTTCCGGGACATGCTCCGAGAGTACTCACGACCCTGTCTTGTGACTCCCTCTCCATCTCAAAGAAGAAATACTGACTCCGACAACGTGAAAGGCTGGGACTGTTGCCATGAGATCAGTGCATCAAATGGTGAAGGTATTGAAGAGGTGTTCCGTGTTATCACGAGAAAGCTTGTGGAACAGAAGAACAAGAAGGAGCAGGAACAGTTGCGAGACGAACGCAACAACACGCCGGGTCAGAAAAGGGGTCAAGGTGGCTATTTTGAAGGCCTTTCGGATGTCCAAGGTAGCTTCAAACTGAGCAACAAGCGCCAAAGTTGGCTGGGCATCGCAACTGGCGAAGAGGCAAATGACGGCGCTCAAAGTCTTGCCATAAACAGGAAAGGAAAGTGCTGTTGAACATAGTCATTGCCTGTAGGCACGTTTCTACCAACTTGGATGGGTAGATTCTCTTGATTGGAAAGCTTGCTTTCTCAATACTCAAGACTTGAAAACGAGAATGGGTGCTACGCTAAGATGCTAGTGACCAATCAAATTATCGGATTTCACGATTTCTAGTCTAAAACACACCTTATTTCTTTCATTTTCGATCTAAACACGGGTACGTCCAAAAGAGGAAGCACCATAAGGCTGAACCTCGAACATCAATTTTATTAATTTATTCTATTTAATTCCTTTCACGTTACGTAATAAATGATAATAAAGTAAATTTATAGAGTTATAGAGTTAACTATACGCTTTCAAATAATGTAGAGAAGACGAAATTTGATAAAGTATTCGTAAAGATATACTAAAAACTAAGATTTATCGAGCTCGCGAGAAGAGCCCCTCCGGCAGGAGCCCTCGGAGAGCCCTCGGAGAGCCCCCGGAGGGTTAGGGGGTTTCAGGGGCCCCCTGAGTATGTCAAATAAATTACAACGTCTCTCTCTATTCTCAGGGTTAGATCCCTTAAAATCCCTTAAACCCTTCGGAGCTCTTTAAGCGCTCTCCGAGAGCTTCTGTCGAGGGGCTGTCAAAGCAAGCTTGAAATCAATCAAATATCACTAAAATAATCAAATTTCGAGCTTGCTTTGACAGCCCCTCGACAGAAGCTCTCGGAGAGCCCTTAAAGAGCCCCCGAAGGGTCCGAGGGGTTTTAGGGGATCTCCCTGAGAATCAAATAGTCACAAACCAGTACTCGGCAAGCTTTTCACTACTGGGAAGCCCGCGCCCCAGCACATATTAGCGTCTGATGTGACGTGGTCGTTACCAATGCTATATCAAAGTCTTTGTAAAAAGCTGAACTGAGAGCGAAGAGACCTAGCACTTATCCACGCGAGCCCGGCCAAGCTGTGAAAGGTCAAACAGCCATTGCACTTGTGGAGATTTGCTCTAGCAGTCCATTACCAACGACCAAGAAATTCCAATTTGGCGGCAATGGCCACACACTTCTGCGGATGAATTGTCAAATGTACTCGTACGAGTATATACCCGGAAGTGCCCGGTACCTGGTAATGCACGATCTAAAATCCACTTCAGTAATATTAATTCATCCTTTCACAACAGTAATATAAAAAACTTGAAAAATCAAATGATAGAATGTAAAACAAGGTTTCTAGAGCTTCAAGAATCTTGTAAATCGCAGTTGTATAAAATCTACTTGACTTCTGTGAGCCCTACGCCGCGTAACGGGGCGTGGGTAAGCCCGGGGTGGGGGTGAGTTTTCGGGATGGTATCCCCCCAAAACTCACACCCGGATTTGTCGGATTTAAGACCGTGCATTACCAGGTAGCGGGCACTACCGGGTATATACGAGTATCTTATAGGCTTGCGTTGAGTGATTAGAGTCAGTTATAAGGACCCCGCAACGAAGTATTCTGCTACGATCAGCCTCAGTTCTCCAGGCGGCAGAGTGGGCAGATTAGTTAGCTTCACAGAGACGAAGGTTTTAGCTATAGCACAGTCCCAAGTCATTGATAATTGGTGACACTTCCTCATCTGAAACACTGGCCACTTGCCTTTTGCAAAGCGTAATAGAGATGTAGGCGTCAGGATATAGAATTGCCGTTTCGCAAGTATAGAGAGATGGATATCCTCTCCATATACAATTACTTCGGTAGTTGGACCGAGAGTCCTTTCACTTGGGGATTCAGTCCAGACCCTTAGCTCGATCTTTCGACTTTCATCAGCGGGACCTGCCCCTCCTCTGTGAACAATGAAGATCGATCCTCCTCTTGTGATCCTGTCCCTGCGTTGAGAGCTGTCTGCTCATTTACGGTCGCGTGCCTGGTTTTATTTCGCCAATCCCTTCCTCAATCGCGCGCGGGACGATCTGCATTTGCGCCGACCAATAATCTCCTTGCTATGTCGCAAGACTCTGTCTCTGCATGTGTTGCTTCTCTCTCTTCCGTCTACCATAATGGCGCCGAGCTCGTTCAACAAATCATAGCTAAAAGAAGATCTCGCAATACATTTCAAGATGCATCGATCGACGTAACAGCCCAAGAGCTGGAATCATCGCTGAACCGTGGGGAAAGCACCGTGAGGAATCAGTATGAACGCACCTATAAACGTTGTGGTGACGCCTTCGCACAAGGCGATCGTACGTTCATATATCACAAACATTAAGGACAATCGCTGAATGTCATGCAGAGTTAGCCCGGGATGCCCTGCAAGACATCATCACTCACCACCAGGGACAGGTCTTTGCAAATCTAAAAGCGCAATTGGAGCAAGACACATTCGTCGACTTCATCGCCCTCCAGGACATATGCGACTCGAGCCAAGATCGAGCCATTCTAGTCCTTATGCAGCTTCAACAGCGTACCATCTCCTTGGGTCCAATTGAGACCTTACCTTTGAATCCCCTCAGTAAAATTGGTCGGCTCTCTTCTCCTCCACAAAACGCGGCCCAGCCGTCGCGGCAGAACACCAGTTCCATCACCGTCTCTTCCTCTCCGAACACCTCTAGCGCTAACGGCAATATTCTCCATGTTCGAAAGATGTCCTTATCACCTTCCATTAGACCGATCACGCCTCCAAGCACACCCAATACCTCTCAATACTCCCCACGCTCAGATTCAGCGCGAGGGTCCAGAGAACGGACGAGCACCGACAGAAGGGATGCTGCTCAATACAAGCCAATGGCTACTACGGTCACCACAACAGGATTGTTCGGCATCGGCAAGAGGACGAAAGTCGAGCCTGTAGTCAGTCCTCCAGAAAACCCTCTCGTTGACGAATACCTGGCTGTGGCAATAGAAGATGCAAATAATGGACTGTCTAGCAACGCTTCGATCAGGTCTAGAACCAATTCCATAAGCACAGCAGTAAGCTCAATATACGAGCCTGACCACCCAGCCTTCAATTCATGGCAAGACTATCAGGCTACAAGCCCAGCTCTTTCACAAAAGCCTACCGACTCTATCCTATCCTTCGACACAGTGCGTCATGCTCCATCGCACAGATTTTCTGGCTCCATCAAATCTTTCGATTCCCAGCGTCGTGCTTCCGCGGCCACTGTTGAAACACTCTCATCTAATAAGTCGATCTGTTCAATCAACCCGAAAGATCCGCTGCCAAGCGAAATGAACAAGTACGCCGGCTTTTGCAAAGGCGCTTGGAGACAGCAAATCGGCGACAGAAAAAGAGCCTTGGAAGAGAGAGTGCGACCTGGAGGCATGTATAACGCAGCCAAATACTACCAATGCAAACAATGCAAGTTTGAAGGCCGCTTGATACCAATTGACAAGAAAAAAAGTGGATTTGATATGCGAGTCTTCAAGCTTGTGCAAGGAATACAATTTCGCTGGGAGTTTATGTTCAAGAGTCATATCCAGGTCAAGGAGGCCTGCTCAGACCCCACAAAAGCCACCTTTGGATGCATTTTCTGCTGCGCTGAGGGTAGGGGCACGCCAATGTTCGGTGGAATCCAGACTTTCATGAACCATCTGGTAGAGCACAGGGAACATTTTCCCACTGGAGAGGTGCTGTACCGAATGAATTGCCTTGTGGGAAGGCAAGCGGCAATTGACGAGGATTTTGATATCAATATCATCAGCATCGAGGGAGGAAAGATATAGTGTTTGAAGGACAGGCTCAGTGTTGGTTGCCACGCGCAGTTAAGCGTCTCATATCTCGAATAGGACGAGACATCACTAATAACATACGATTCTGCGCTTTTCGGCGCTACCGATCATGCCACAATCTGATACTTGCTTTTGCCAAGACTACACTGGACAGCATTTGACATGTCCGAGTCAATGAGCCGCAAAAAGACGCCACATAAGGTTCGCGAAGCCAGATGTGTTCACGACCCGCTCCCAAAGTCTCTAGGTCACAGAAAGAGCTATTCAAACAACTTTAGAAGATCAATCAGGCCCGGACTTCCGATGTGCGCTGAAGGGGCATGAGTGTCAAAGAGTGACATGGTGGGTCGCATTGCGCTTTGACGGGGCCCGGGGTGTGGTGTGGCATTGGGAACCTACATGCTGAGAAGTTGTATTCGTTTTGGCGGATTGAAGGGATTTGTAGTATATAGAGGTGAATAATACCAATGACACGCTGAAGCTGACGTGGGACAAGGGTTTCATACTTCGTTTAAGATGAAATGGATGTCGTATTGCAGGAAATGATGAGACCAAGCGCCCAATACACAATGTATTTATGCTACAATATTACACATGAAGAAAGGCGCCTCGTCATCATGCAGAGCCATGAACGGGGCGGGCTGCATTTAGACGGCATCTCTTTTCACTACCCAACGAAAATGCAGCAATACTCCGATAGCATACTGACTGGAGGGATGCCTTGTCCACAATGCTGTGAGCTGTATAGAGTATTACATGATTACACAACAAGAATTTTGCTGTTTTGCCTGTTCTACAAGAAGCGATGTCAGTACAGTGTTGCATCATCGCACCTAGTCAAATAGATGAAATGCTCACTATAAAACATCTTTGACTGAGCACTGAGTCCGTCACTCTTCTCAACCAAGCTATCAATCTTTTCGCCTCTCTCCAACACGCTCTCAATCGTCTTATGCAGCACGATCTTCGTCTCGTCCAGTTCTTTCTGGATCTTCATTATGCTGTCCGCTTGTTGCGGATCCTGGTATTTCTCGAGGTATTCTTTGAGCTGTGGAAAGGGTAGGTTGGGGTTGGAATTGGCGAAGGTGGAGCGAGGATAGCGGGCGAGGAACTCGTCGACAACTTTGGAAAGCAATTGATGTGCGACAAGGGCAGGATAGTCGGGATCGCTGATTATGATTCCGGCGACGCCTTCTGTGCGACCATAGGCATGGAATGTGTAGGATGGAATGGCATGTCAGCTGAAATTCAGATTGGCGGGGAGATGATTACGGGAGCGGTGGTGGGGAGAGTACATTTCTCTTCAACATCTTGCCTCTGACCAGGCTTTGTTCGTTCTGCGACAGTCTTGCTGAACAGAGACATGAATTGGCCATAGCTGAGACGCAAACGAGCGATCAGCGCGGAATGATATCCCAGAGTATAATTGGGTATCATACTTGTCCCTTGTGAACCTTGAGTAGCTACTGAGATCTTTCTCAACGCATAGCTCGTGTGCTGGTTTGTTCTCATTCTTGAGAATCTGGTATGCAGGCATCAGCATCAGTGCTGTTCTACGGCCCAGGTAGCAGGCGCTACTCACGCCAATGTAGAAGATTTTCATTTTGTATGAGAGTTAGTACGAAGCCAAAGATTTTGTGGTCTGTAGGTTACAGGAGAAACTAGGTGGAGGCTGACGGTGGTATGTGCATACGGTAGCAGTAGGGGTTCTGAGCCACAACTTCGACCATTTTCGTTACTGTCGAGAAAACAAGCTTTTCGGGAAGTGCCGCGACTATCAGCCACTCGCCAGGGTATATAATACTGTTAGCATCATCATTTACACCAACATGGTTTGACATCTATAACTTTAGTCATCGGCAGCAATACCACCAGCTTTGAGTGCGTGTAGGTGGGCAGTACTTGCCCGGGCAGATACTCGTGCTGAATCTCAACCTTCACCTCCAAACCTCACCAAGACCTCATCATGTCATCCTCACTCGAAAATGCTGAGTCGGAATGGGTAGCCCAGTATGCAGCGCTGCGACAAACGTTAAATGAATTGAGAATAGAGCAGCCGAATGGTGAAAGCAGAGGATATGGACACGACATCATGCTTGACGATGAGGATCTCACAGGCAGCAGTGGCTCGGATGACTTGTGGAACGTGTTCAGTGATGATGAACAGGATCGAGAGTACAGCAGCGACATGTCAGGTGGTGTTACAGAGTCCCCGAGCGGCAAACCCAAGTCAGCCTATTCATACGGTCAGGAGTGGCTCAGGAGCAAATGCCTCGCTTTTGCGAGCAGCAAATCAGGCATGGACGCAGAAGAGCTACAGCAACAGTTGTCCGCTATGTTGGCGTCAGATATGAGAGGTCTGCATAGTAGTAGGTCTCTGTTGTTGCCAGAGACTGACTAATCCTACAGATGACGACCTTCAGATGTCTCTTGCTGACATATTGGGCTTTGATGACCTCGACTTTGTCATACAGCTAATAGCTCATCGCAGTCAAATACTGTCAAGCGAGTTTCATGATCCGAGCTCGGCAAACGGTGTACTTGGTCATCTCCAAAGCAAAAGGCAAAGGGAGCAAGCCCTACAACATCAGGATCATGAACACAAAGCAGCAAGCCTTGACCCAGCGCAGAATCATAACGGCCCTCGGTATCCGCACGTGTACAAAGTCCACAGCGCGGCGAACACTTTGGCTGCAGGAGGCCGCAAGTATGGGTTACCTGTCGGTAGCAAGAGAACAGAACATGAAAAGTATGAAGAATACTTGATTCCCGCAGCTAAGGTGGGTACGTTGGGTGTCGGTAGAAAGCTCGTTGAGATTTCCGAGATGGACGGGTTGTGCAGAAGAACTTTCAAGGGCTACAAAGCCTTAAATCGCATGCAAAGCCTGGTGTATCCAGTCGCGTATAAGACAAATGAGAACATGTTAATATGTGCTCCCACCGGTGCTGGCAAAACAGATGCTGCTATGCTTGCGATTCTGAATGCAATCGGCCACAACCTCACCCCCAGTCCCGTGGATGCGCCCGATGCCTCGGAATTTCTAGTCAATTCTGAAGATTTCAAAGTCATTTACGTGGCCCCAATGAAAGCATTGGCGGCTGAGATCACCGAAAAGCTTGGGAGACGTCTTGCGTGGCTGGGCATTCAGGTGCGTGAGTTTACTGGAGACATGCATTTGACAAAGAAAGAAATCGTCCAGACTCAGATCATCGTGACTACGCCCGAGAAATGGGACGTTATCACCCGCAAGAGTACTGGCGATACCGAGCTTGTACAGAAAGTCCGACTGCTCATCATAGATGAAGTGCACATGCTTCATGACGAACGGGGCGCCGTAATTGAGTCTCTCGTTGCTCGAACAGAGAGGCAGGTCGAAAGCACTCAATCTCTCATTAGGGTTGTTGGCCTTTCTGCAACGTTGCCAAATTACGTTGATGTTGCAGATTTCCTCAAGGTAAATCGCATGGCAGGACTATTCTACTTTGATGCCTCGTTCCGGCCAGTGCCTCTCGAGCAACATTTCATTGGTGTAAAAGGAAAAACAGGAACCAAATCATCCCGTGACAACATTGACCAGACAGCTTTCGATAAAGTCAAAGACATGCTGGAGTGTGGACATCAGATCATGGTCTTCGTACATTCTAGGAAAGACACCGTCAACTCCGCGAGGACATTCATGCAGATGGCTCAAGATCAGCAATGTCTAGACCTATTTGATTGTCAAGCGGTGGAGGGATTTGCAACAGCAATGAAAGATCTGAAGAACACCAAGGGAAGGGAGCTCAGAGAAATCGTCCCCAAGGGCTTCGGTACTCACCATGCTGGGATGCCAAGATCTGATCGAAATCGAGTCGAACAGCTTTTCGCGCAAGGGCACATCAACGTGCTCTGCTGTACAGCGACACTCGCATGGGGTGTCAATCTACCAGCTGCTGCGGTCATCATCAAAGGGACCCAAATGTATAGCTCCCAAGAGGGCAGATTCGTCGATCTTGGCATCTTGGATGTGTTGCAAATATTTGGGCGTGCTGGTCGACCGCAATTCCAAGCTACTGGCATTGGCTTCATCTGTACCACTCATGACAAGCTAGACCACTATCTTTCTGCGGTGACTCAACAGCAGCCAATCGAGTCAAAGCTCTCTCGAAAACTGGTGGACAATCTGAACGCAGAAATTGCTTTGGGGACTGTGACTTCTATCCCCGAAGCTGTTCAATGGCTCGGTTACTCCTACCTCTTCGTGCGAATGCAGCGCAATCCACTGACATACGGCATCGACTGGGCCGAGATTCGTGATGATCCCCATCTTGTCCAAAGAAGGCGAAAGTTGGCGGTTGATGCAGCGCGTGTGCTGCAGCAGAGCCAGATGATTATCTTCAACGAAACGACCGAGGAGCTTCGGGCCAAGGACGTTGGTAGGATTGCAAGCCAGTATTATGTCTTGCAAACAAGCATTGAGATCTTCAATACCATGATGGGAGCGAGAGCCACTGAAACAGATGTTCTCAAAATGATCAGCATGAGCGGCGAGTTCGACAATATTCAATCCCGCGACAACGAGTCAAAGGAACTTACAAGGCTCAGAGAGGAATCAACTCATTACGAGGTGGTGGGGGGCAACGACATCGCATCAGCAAAGACAAACATTCTGCTCCAATCCTACATCTCTCGGGCTCGTATCGATGACTTCGCTCTTGTCTCTGATTGCGCATACGTAGCACAGAACGCTGCAAGAATATGCAGGGCACTGTTCATGATAGCTCTTAACAGAAGATGGGGTCATCAGTGTCTCGTCATACTCTCTCTATGCAAGTCGATTGAGAAGCAAATATGGCCCTTTCAGCATCCGTTTCACCAATTCGACCTTCCTCAGCCTATATTGAGAAATCTTGACGAGAAGTCGAATGTCTCTTCCATTGAGTCATTACGCGACATGGAGTCTGCAGAGATCGGCCACGTGGTTCATAACAACCGAATGGGAAATACAATCTCGAAGCTCCTGGACAACTTCCCAACGTTGACCGTTGAAGCTGAGATTGCTCCTCTGAACCGCGATGTTCTTCGAATCAATCTACACCTTACTGCCGATTTTCGCTGGAACGATAGACACAATGGAACGTCAGAATCATATTGGATTTGGGTCGAAAACTCGGAAAACTCGGAAATTTACCACCACGAGTATTTTATCTTGACGCGCAAGAAGCTTTACGACGACCACGAGCTAAATTTCACCATTCCTCTGTCGGACCCTCTGCCAACACAGATATACGTGCGGGTTGTCTCAGACCGATGGCTGGGTGCAGAAACCGTGACTCCAGTGTCCTTCCAGCACCTCATCAGGCCAGACACGGAAAGCGTGTATACAGATCTTTTAGATCTTCAACCGCTTCCGGTTGCTGCGCTAAAAAATACCCTGCTCGAAGAAATATATGGGCAACGATTCTCATTCTTCAATCCAATGCAAACCCAGATCTTCCACACTCTTTATCACACTTCGGCCAACGTGCTGCTCGGTTCTCCAACTGGTAGTGGAAAGACAGTCGCCGCAGAGCTAGCTATGTGGTGGGCTTTCCGCGAGAAGCCTGGATCTAAAGTCGTCTATATTGCGCCGATGAAAGCACTGGTGCGAGAGCGAGTGCAAGACTGGCGCAAGCGCTTAGTCCGCCAAATGGGCCTTAAGCTTGTCGAGCTGACCGGTGATAATACGCCTAATACTCGAACCATTCGAGATGCTGATATCATCATCACTACGCCTGAAAAGTGGGATGGTATAAGTCGTAGCTGGCAAACTAGAGCTTACGTCCGCCAAGTGAGCTTGGTGATCATTGACGAAGTTCATCTTCTTGGAGGTGATCGAGGGCCGATCTTAGAGATCATCGTTTCCCGTATGAATTACATTGCTTCTCAATCCAAAGGTTCTGTGCGACTGGTGGGAATGTCGACTGCTTGTGCCAATGCCATGGATTTGGGAAATTGGCTAGGTGTCAAAGAAGGACTCTTCAATTTTCGACATTCAGTCAGGCCGGTGCCGCTCCAGATATTTATAGATGGGTTTCCAGAACAACGAGGCTTTTGCCCTCTCATGCAATCGATGAACCGTCCGACGTTCCTAGCAATCAAGACCCATTCGCCCGAGAAACCGGTCATTGTCTTTGTTGCTTCCCGAAGGCAAACGCGCTTAACAGCAAAGGATTTGATCAACCTCTGTGGCATGGAGGACAACCCCCGACGCTTTATACGCATGTCAGAAGATGACCTACAGCTCAACCTGTCCAGAGTTAAAGACGAGGCTCTGCGAGAGGCCCTGAGCTTCGGCATCGGTCTGCATCATGCTGGATTGGTAGAAGCTGATAGGCAGTTAGCCGAAGAGTTATTCGCCAACAACAAGATCCAAATACTCGTGGCAACGTCTACGCTTGCTTGGGGTGTCAACTTGCCAGCCCATTTGGTCGTAGTCAAGGGTACTCAATATTTCGATGCTAAAATCGAAGGGTATAAAGACATGAATCTGACCGATGTATTACAAATGCTAGGCCGCGCTGGACGGCCACAATTCGATACTTCGGGAATTGCCCGCATTTTCACCCAAGAGGCTAAAAAGGCATTTTACAAACATTTTCTACACACAGGTTTTCCTGTGGAGTCCTCCCTTCACAACGTTCTCGAAAACCATCTAGGCGCCGAGGCTTCTGCGGGCACGATCAGTACCAAGCAAGATGCGCTGGATTATCTTACTTGGACTTTCTTCTTTCGCCGACTGCACAAAAATCCTTCTTACTACGGCCTTGAGATATCGTCCGAAGAGCACAACACGATCGCAGCGCAGCAACTAGCCAATGAATTCATGATTGAACTTGTCGACAAGTCTCTGGATGAATTAGCGGAATCGGGTTGTATTGCACAGCACTCCAGCGGCGACGTCGATTCGACTCCACTTGGTAAGATCATGAGTTATTACTACTTATCTCACAACACCATCCGACATCTAGTGAAGCATGCTAAAAGAGACGCGAACTTCGAGGACGTGCTGGCTTGGATGTGCGGTGCAAACGAATTCGATGAGCTTCCTGTACGGCACAATGGTAAGGACTTTCATCCTCCATCCTTTTCTTACATTTCTTCCGGATTTTGTCTGCAAATCAAAGCTAGAAGTGCTGGAGGAGATCATTGCAAAGGACATATGGCCAAAGTAAAGAGTCATTTTGAGAGGGGAAGACCCGAATGAGGCACATTTTCACAGGCAAAGGCCCGGGGTGGAAATTGGTCAGGGGGGACAAGGCTCCAATGGAGCAGGCATAAGAGGATCTCGTTGCGCACACTTTAGCCTTGACGAAGCGATGCTGACCCGTGGAATTCCACTTCTAGAGGATCTTATCAACGCGGAATTGTCAAAGAACCTACCATTGAAAGCCGAAGCCCTCAGCCTTCCGATGTGGGACCCTCACGTCAAAGCGTTCCTGCTTCTCCAGGCCTATTTTTCCCGCATCGACTTGCCAATATCCGACTACGTTGGCGACCAAAACTCAGTCCTAGACCAGAGCATACGTATTGTCCAAGCTTCCATCGATGTGTTGACAGAGATGGGCTACCTGTCGAGCTGCATCATGATGATTACTTTGCTGCAGTGCATCAAGTCAGCCCGCTGGCCATTGGACGGTCCCTTGTCTATCTTTCCTGGCGTGAATACGGACAAAGAACGGGCAAGAGCAAAAGATGGAGGGTCACAACCCCCCTCACTAGCCCAGATCCACAATGTTGCCAAACCCGTACTATCCAAGGTACTTAATAGTCTTGACGTGCCTCACGAACTGGAGTCTCAAGTCGAAAAAGCAATTGGCACACTCCCAAACCTCAATGTCAATGTCATGGACGTCAATGCCCTTGGCCTCACTGTAGGCGCTGCTCGTCTCAACCCCGCAACACAGCCTGATTATCGCATTTATGCCCCCAAGTTTCCCAAACCACAATCCGAAGGCTTCTTCCTTGTCGTTGCTGATCCAGCCAAAGACGAGGTTTTGGCGTTGAAAAGGATAAATTGGCCTTCAGTGCAAAAGGTACGTGGTGGTGGAAACAAGCCAACGTCGAGATCCATACTGAAGTTGAAGCCTGAGAGTGTGGAGAGAAAGGTCGATGTCCTCGTGGCCAGCGATGCGTATGTAAATATGATGTGGAAGATCAAGGGCATAGAGATGCCGGCAGCGCCAGTTGTTGAGGATGTCAATGGAAAGAAGAGCTCATGAAATCAGGAAGGGTTATAACGAACCTACTTCTAGCCATTCAATATAGCGTATGGGGAAGGCCCTGGTGTCATTCAATAGAGAAGGTAAAAACAGAGCACGGAAAGCATTCCTCGTAGCGTTTTCTCTTCCAGTTGCGAATCTCAAGGCAAAAGATATCTACAAGAATCGAATGTCTCCTCATAATATACATCCACACATTTATGGCCTGACCCTGCCATAAACGCGAAGCATTTCTAATGGAAGGGCTCCTTATGCTGCCTGTACGAACAGAAACCCCTGTTTCTTGCCAGAAGAAACAACGATGTATTCAAGCATTCTCCAAAGTCAGATGCTGCGATTTCCTCGACTCCTCCGTGGTGCTCTGCTCATTGATTCTGGGCTGCATGGGCTGACGGGCAGTCTTTGGGACGATCGGGACAAGAAGTTGCTGTTGTCGACGTGAAATGGAAATTTGCCTAGCCACGGAGACTTCAGCAGGAGGGCCGGTTGGGTCTTCCCTTTGATTTCTATACCGTGGTTCCGGTGAAGCTAGCTTTTTCATGCTTGATTTCCGCGCTGGGAATGCACGTTGCAGAAAATCCTGTGGTGCACCATTCGTATGTGTGGGAGGGTGCGTTTCGGTGGTGGGGTACGAGTACCCAGGGTACTCTGCGCACTCGAAAGAGCTAGCTGTAGTCGAGTTCGCGGAGCGCTGAGAATGATTGGAACTAGGTTGACGACCGTGAAACGTTGGGGTCCCTGGGATATCTTCCGAGTTGTGCACTACGACAAGCACATGATCTTGTTCCTGGGATTTGCTTTTCTTGATCGCGGGCCTGGGCGGAAAAAGGTGGTGAGTGGGGGCAGTCATCGAACGACTCAAAGGACTAGGCTTCGGAAGCAGCTTGTTCACAGAAGTGCGGGCTGAAAGAGGAGGAGTCGAGGGGAAGAGCGAGAAAGATGAAGACTTGGAGGACTTGGATGATACTGAGTCAGCTCGCATACCGAGTTTTGGCAAGTCAAGCTCAAAAGACTGTTAGACATCTGTGAGCTAGTAATTTTGTTTTCAACAGCAGAAGAACGTACCTCGCTGCTCGAGTCAGTGACGGTATGTGGCTCCTCCAAGTGGGCCTGCCTTCGAGCCAACAGTGAAGGCTGCCGCTGAATTTGCCGTACCTGAGGCTCCAGGACGTCGCCAAACATTACGCTATAACGCTCCAATTCCACGCACGGGATCTCAACTTGTAGTAATGATGGCCCACGCATCCGCGACCCCTGCCGCTCTCCATGAGGATCCGAATCCCCTGCTATGGCGTGTGCTGTATACTTGGCAGGAATTCGCTGCATTTCAGGCTGAGGCTCTCCGATTTCTTTTCCAGGCGTACCCGTGAATGAATCTACTTGATGCGCTTTGTTACCATGATTCGAGTCTGCCCGCTTGCGACGAAGAGCGTTGGTCTCCAAGTAGTCTTGGGCGATGATCTGCCTGGCTGGTTCCGGTTGCTGTTTTTGATCCAGCTGGTAGAATGGCGAAGCGGACCGAACTTGACTTCTCCCAAAAAAGCTACCTATCGACTTCCACTTGCTGCCCTTCCGTTTGATGCCTTTACTCCCGTTACCAATCTCACAGACATTCCCAAGCGTGCTTGCGGGTTTTTCTGGCGAGCTGCAAACGCAAGAAACATCAACATCGCGGTAATCTGGCGGAAGGGCCGATAATGGATTCTGCCTCGGGCTACCTAAGCCGAGTCCAATGACTATCTCATCAGAATGAAGTCTGCGCCCAAACCCTCCATGCGGCTGAGGGGATTGAACATTGGAGAGCGCCTGCACGGCATTCGCATGAGTGTTGTTGCCTGCGGGTGGTTCTGCTGGTCTAACCCGTTTAGACACTGACCTTGTCAAAGGTCCAGCCTTTGGCATCTTTCGAAAGAGTTTCTTTGCGGGATACAGCCTGATGGCACCTGGCCAACTGACAACAGAGAAAGACAAGCTATATACAAAAGAGTTGGATATAGAAGGAAAGGCGTAAGAAAGGAGATACGGTGACGGAAGGGGATAGGAAAAAAACAGGATGAACAACAGGGAGGGACGATGATGATACGTAGGGAAGGAGGAGGATGAGGTCTCGGGTGTCAAGATTCTGTCTCCCCACTCACCCGCCACGCACAATCTTGGGCACATTGAGCTTTCATTTCCTGAAAAAGGTTTGGTTCAAAATATCATTGGTGCTCAAGGATGGGAGCCCTATCGCTAAGATGAGAAAGCGGAACGCTGCGAATGAGATGATGTGCTTCATTTTTTTTCACCAAGGTGAAACAACGCCTGTGTTAGCCGAGCTAGGATTTGGGCTTTTGGGCTTACGCTCGGCGGTACTCTATAAAATTACAAAGCAACATCAAGATTCACATTAGACAAGCCTCGTAAGAAGGGCGGAGAATGTTGCGTGGGAAACCCTGCTCGTGGGAAAACGAATAATAATAATGATGATACAAGGAAGGACCAGTGCGAAACCGCGGAACAAGTTTCAGCGCACAAACATCAATCTTCCTACCTACCGTCTCACCGTCTTACCCCTGATTGCAAAAATTTGCAAGTTCTCCCACCCTCAAAAATCAAAAATCAAAAGTTCAATTTTCTGTATAGGTTCACAACCACGATTAATTATAGTCTAAGACTTATAAAATATATACTTTATACACCCAAGTATTTATTATTAAAGTATCTAAAAAATTTAATTTATAGAACGTAAGTAAAATAGTAAAATGTTGATTTGACATTGCCGAGGGTGCGTTGAAAAATCATCTGAAGAAATGCCAAGGTTTTTTTTTTTTACCTCGGCTATTCTAAAGCTGTCAAGAGTACTTCGTAAAATTCGTTATTATTCTCTTTTACAATATAACGACTAATTTAAACTTTTAAGAATTTTATAATCTAACTACACTCTATTTATTAAATTTGAGATTTTCCAGATTATAATTAATTGTGGTTGTGGACCTATACAGAAAAATTGAAATTTTTGATTTTTGATTTTGGGGTGTGCCAGAACTGTGGGAATTTTTTTTTTCTCAAGGATTAATGCAATTAGGGGTACGCAGCCTGATACGGAACACAGTAGCGAAGGCTAGCCGCCAAAGGAGTTAACCTTGATATACTCCCTTATTCCGTTCCGCTCGGCGATAAGCAAGTGCTTCATTCTAATCTACTGCACTCCTACTCCGTTCAGTTGTTTGTAGAAATCCAAGGTAGTCGGGTCTAGTCGCAAGGTAGCAGCTCAGTCCTCGGTATCAAAGATTGGAGAAAGGAGAACGGAGAAAGGTGGAAGGCAAAAGGTGAAAAAGGATGAAACAGAGGATGTGCGTTCTTGGCGGGGTCACTTGGCCATTGTTTTTTAGCAACCCCACTGGGCTCCATCACATCATACTACTTACTACCTCTTCTTTCCGCCAAAATACCATCCCACCGAACCATTCCGACCATTGTAACCCTCCTTGACTCCTCTCAATTATCGCTAGCATCTGCCGCATTCGAAGCTCCGCTATTGATCAAGCATGTCGTGGCAAGGTCAGTCGGTCTACCTGTCTCGTTCCACGGTCTCGCTGACTCACTGCCATCAAAGCATATGTTGATACCAGGTACCTTCACATATGACAACATCTTCCGCTCTTCCGGATACTGATGGAGATTTGGTAGTTTGGTGGGAACTGGGAATCTCGACAGGGCTGCCATTTTCAACACACAAGGGACTAGCGTCTGGGCCTCGTCCCACGGCTTTACAGTACGTCGACAATCTCTTCTCCGTCCGCCCACATACTCTATACATCCGTTCAAAGCCCCGGGTTTAACTCGGGAAGGTAGCATGTGGAAGGAACCCTGGGGCTGAACTCGAAGATTGACGATGCCCTCAGGTTTCGCCGGCGGAAATAAAAGAGGTCATTGCTTCGTACTCGGACACATCAGACGTCAAGAAGATCCAAAGTGGTGGCTTTCGCATCGCAGGTGAGAAATACATGACGATAAAGGCGGATGAAAAGAGTGTGTATGGCAAGAAGGTGCATTACAAATTTACATGGGAGGTCATGGTTGCAAATTGGAGCTGACTGCCACATAGGGAAAGGAGGGGATAGTGATTGTTAAGACGCATCAAGCGATCCTTGTCACCCATTACCCAGAGACAGTACAACCAGGACAAGCAACGAACACAGTGGAGCAGCTTGGCGATTATCTCATGGGGGTCGGCTACTAAGCATTCACACATCGTCTCCCTTAATGCCATTATGAAGCTGTACTTTACTTGCATTCCTCTCTGAGGACAGGGGGTTCGACAGATGAATGGAACGGGGCCTCTGCTTCACCATATCACAAGCTCTTCATTGCGTCCGATCGTGTCGCCATCGTCCATGCAACCGACGCGTTGTCAGCTCCTCATATTTCAATCTGGGAGTTGGATAGCTCTCCCCACTCACAAGCCCGTGACCGCTCCGTTCTAATGGGCAGCGCCTTCCATGTCGAAGTTTTGCTGGGTCCCAAGGTTTGCCACGTCCTGCGTATTCATACAGGCAATTCTGCATTCCTCCGCCCTCCTCCAGCTCTGACTAGCGCCTGCTGTATGTACGGTCCCACCACGGGGATGTTTCCGGCAAATCCACCGATTGTTGAAAAAAAGTCACCAAAGAGCACAAATATCCCGTACAATTCAATTAGGAAGCCCACTAGGGGCCATCGTAGAACTATGAGTATGATTCCTGCCGCGAACGCAGCCGTTCCCTTCAATTTCTGACGCCGAGCGAAGAAGACTGCTGTCTTTTGTAGGCCGATTATAAGGGTAAGACCAAGGAGAAAGAGGATCTGTTCGCGGATGATTAATTAGGTCTTATCTGGAAGTTGCCGCCTCGTACATTGCCCATGGCCAGCCTGCCTGACATGAGCTTTTTTTCTGTTGAGTTCGGGAAATGCTGAAGACGCACATGGCTCTATCGAAAAACATGATCACTCCCCCAACTAGAAAGAATCCCCCTAAACCTATTATCAGACCACTAGCGCGAGAAACTGGCAAACTCAGTGACCCTACCTACCACCTGAGCAGAAGGCGACTCCGACTTCTGTGTGCAAACGGAAACATCAGCGCTGATTGTGCAAAGTTTGGGGTCGAGATACTGGTAGCTCTTGGGGAAGCTTTGGAAATCTGTCGTGTAGACTAACTTTGTGAATCTGAGAGCCACATGGTAGGCATCTCGCAGGTATGTGGTGACGAGGTCTCAAGTATTCGATCGAATCTAAATCATCGAACATTGACAACTTATAATAGCTCTTAATGCGGTCAAATCTTCAAAAACACGTTGTCAAACCCTGCATTCGGTTTTCGAAACAGATAGGAGGCTAGTATTAGTCTTATACTAGCTCATTTACCTCTGTACAGTACGTACAGAGGAAAAGTCCACATCAAAACCTGGATTCTTGGATTCTCCGGCAATTTGACAAATTTCTTGAATAGCCATTTTCTTGATAATTCTTTATATAACTACGTATAACCATTAGCTCGCTTATTTAAATATATAATCGTATACCCTTTAAAACGACTCCATACTCGTTACGCCTTCAAAGAATAACTTCGATAATATACTAGATATACGTTCTATCCACTTCGAATCCTCTCTTATAAAAGCATATTTTAGTAATAAGTTTATACTTTTAGCCCTTTTAAGTCGTTGATAGATTATTTCGAATAGTATATCGCTTTATTTAAGGCTAATATAACTCAATATAGTTTAGATTTAACGAGTTTCATATTATGATAATCTAAGTATATCTATAGATATAAAGATTAATTTCTAAAACTTTAAGATATAAGCTAAGGCTTATCTTTTATAACTACTATATTAGATCTATCTCTTTATATTTCTAGATAAATTTTAGAAGTAATAAAAGAAGAATCTATACTAATTAGCGAAAGAAGCGAAGAATTTAGAGAAATATATATAAAAGATCCTTCAATAGCGATATTAGTTAATTTCCTTTCTTCTATAATAGTAACTTTTCTAATTTCTACTATAAACCTTACTAAGACTTTACGCTAGGAAGATTGCGTAAGCCTATACGTCTTATATCGATTTAAAGTTCTCACTGCAATTTAGCCTTAGACTTTAAGACCTTATTAATAGTAGCTAGTTTCTAAGTATATTCCTTCTTTTCGACTATTATTTCGACCTTTTAAATATAATATAAACCCTTATCGTATGAAAATACCCAAAATATAAACCTATAGCGTCTAGAAACGACGTCGAATAGTAGACTTAATATAGATCTTATCGGGCTAACGCTATTATCGTATTCATCTTATCGAGAGTTTAAGACTATACTAGTCTCGTCGATTCAGATTATATTCTTTTAGTTCTCTATAATCTAGTCTTTATATCGTAAAGCGAATTAATAACGAGCTTTCATTTAAGCTGTCGAAAGAGGCGGTTTTTTAATAAATTTTGATTGATAAAAGTTATTACGTTTAAGTACTCGTAGAATTATTATTAAGGAGATTTCTACTTAGTAGCTAGCATAAAGAGGTTTTTCATGGCCATAGCGATCCTTTCGTATAGCGGCTAAAATAGCACTCTTAAGCTCGGGCGTAATAATAGAGAGTCGTTTAGACTAGGGGTATCGGATATATACGATAATAAAGCTTTTGGATACGATAGGGTTATATCCTCTGTTACGGGCTTATTATTTTAGGCGATTAACGATCTAATAAGAGACTTCTATAATAGTGTAACGACCTTCGCTATAATATTATATTCGGCTAAAGTAAGTATTTAAAGTCTAATTCGTTGTTATAATTAATGCTCTAAGTATTAAATATATTAAAATTAAAGAGTAATAAGAAGATACTACTTACTATACTAGATATATACTAAATATATACTAAAATTCTTTATATTCTCTCTCTATTCCTCTATTTTCTTATTAGCGTAAGTATATAAATATTAATATCGCGCTATCGCTATAATATATATAGTAATATCGTAATTATATATCTCGTATATATGCAGTAACATCGCTACTATGTATTATATATGATATATCATATATAGCAAGATTGATATCGCTACTATGCAAAGTATTGATATTTAAGATATTGAGAATATTTGCCAAGAATGCCAAGAGTTTTAGCGCATGTGCAGGACTTTCGGTGCAGACCTCTATACATTTCAGCTTTTTCCCCTGCGGCGCCATATCACAAATTTTCTGCCATCCCCAGCTCGATATGTAGGCAAGAAATCGTAGAGATTTTTATGAAAATCCGAGCATCAAGCCAACTTTCATGCAGACCATCGAAATTCACAATGACAAGTCAAGGAATTCGCATGGTGCTGCTCCAATGCACCGATCATGGTCCTCACTTTTAAGCTATCGTCGACTTGTTTCAACTAACTTTACAAACCCTTGCCCACTGAGGCCCATTCATAATGCAGCAATGCTACAGTAGCAAATCAACTACACCATGCGATGTTTTTTTGTCACCCAACGCTTTGACAACAGCAATCTTTGGATTCTGTAACTGATACCCTGTTCTCCTCCATGGGATCATCGGTAGACCGTCAAGCTGGCGAATACAAATTGGTCACGATTAAGCCGGAGCGTATTCTTGAGTCTTGCACCGAGAGGGGCAAGATGGGTGGAATAGGCTTGACTTTGTTGGCCGAACAACTCAATTATCCGGGCATTGGTGGTTGGGCTTCCTCTGAGCAGGACGTGTCTTCAGCTAGATCATTTGAGTACGACGTGGGCTTCTCGCGCTTCCAAGTATCTCTCCGCCGCCCCCTGAGGTAGGTGTCGGACAACATCGAACACCTCCTTGTTGTGATATCGAAGTCTGGACTTCGGATCCGTATAAGGGGCCGGCAAGCCAGTGATGTCGCAGTAGTGTTTCTGGTGCGCTGGATGCAGTGACGGAGCAGACTCGATGTTCGTGTAAGTAGCTACTGGCCCAGAAGAAAGAGAGGCTTGCAGATTCCTTTCGAGTACCATTGTAGACAGATTTTGAGCTGCTTGTGATATGTTGGAGTGTGTGAACATGCCGTATAAAGGTACCGGCGTTGCTGCTCCGGTTTCTATGGCAGAGCTTTGCAGATTTGGGGTAGAAGAGCCGCTGTTGTCGTGTGTGGCCATGACTGATGCCTCTTTGCGAGCAGCCTCGGCCACTATTTGCTTGATATTCTTGTTACGGCGCTGCGAAGGCTTCCATTGAGAATTGCGAAAGGGTCGCGGCTTAAGTGTCAAGTCAAGCTGATCCAGAAGCTGCTGATGCGAGTCGTCTGTAGACGGTGTTGTTGGAGCCATAGATAGATTGTGGTACAAATGCAGTAAGGGAAGTTGGGAGGTAAGCTGAAGGTCAATCCAGGTCTTTTATTAGATACATCATACTTTACACAAGAGAAGCTCGGCGCTAGATAAGTTACAAATGGTGGGATCCACGAAACGCGTTCATTCAAACACTCGTAGTCGAGCGAGCTATCAGCCAGCCATCCCGACACGCAGCAATGAGATAGGAGCGTATGGGACTTAGAGCTATGGTACGTGTCTTGAACGCAATGTCGTTTAATACCTGATCGCCTCGCTGATCAATAGTAGGAAAGCCCCCACGAGCATCAGCAGAGCCTGCTTCTCACGCGCATCATCACCAACGTCGTAAGTAACAGTCAGAACTTTGTCTCTCGATGGTATATACTCATGAATTATCCCAGGAGAAACTCAACGAAGCCGTAATGGTACTGAATAAAAACCTTCAGGTATGATACTCGGTCTCGCTGCCAGCTTGCCTCGTCGAATCTTGCACTAATGCAGGTACCATTTTAACCCCAGGAGATCAACATCCTAAACATGAATGTCGAACTTGTTGCTCAGATGTTTAAAAACTATCGATCCAATGTGCTCTTTCACCTTGAAGGTAAGAACGCATGTCACTTGTCGGGCTGCCTGGTATAAAAAGCATTGATCTCGATTTCGCCTACAGCCACGGACAGCCTCCAAGACCCATCATAGCGTACAACCGTACTGTAGTAATGAAAATTGAAGTCAAGACTGACACTGAAACCACTGATGATGATGATGATAATAATGATGATTGACGTGGAAGCCGACTGCGCCTGTAGATTATACTACCCGAGCCAACCTAAGCAGTCGGATTTCCACTTCACATTTACCGAATGATATTGCGCAACCTCGTTCACGCAGACATATTTCATACTGCGTCCATACAAAGGCTCCTGAGACAAGGCAAATTCACACTCCATCATGACCATCACCTCTAGTCGCTACGTGGAGCCGGTCCTTACAACCGAGGTTACCAATGGCCAAAAGTCTTCCAAACCGCCTCCACGTACATGGTACGCCATCGAACCGCCCTTCAAGGGCTACCAACCAACTCCCTCCGAAGCCTATGCTCAAAGCGTTGCCGAGACAGCGATAGTCATTGACAATGGTAAGCATCCAAAGCATACAACTGTTTGGGGACTTTGTGCTGATTTCCCTCGAGGCTCCAGTCTTGTACGTGCTGGTTGGTCTTTCGATACAATCCCTCGAATATCATTTCCGGCAGATGTTGCTCGATATCGAGACCGAAAATACAACAGGACCGTCTCATACGTGGGTTACAATGCGTATGCAGACGCTACCACAAGGGGTCAGATACGGAACGCTTTCGAACCTGGGACCAGTATTGTGGGCAATTGGGACGTCATGGAAGGTGTGCTGGATAACATATTTGTGAATCTAGGAGTTGAGGGAGAGAACGGAGGCATCGGAAGACCTGTTCTCATGACGGAACCCGTTGCCAATCTGGGCTATTCAAGGAAGAGTACGTGCCAACCGTTGAGCTCACTTGTACAGATGAACACTGACTTTATGCAGCTATGAATGAGCTTTTATTCGAATGCTACCACGCGCCCTCGCTGGTTTACGGCATCGATTCGCTCTTCTCGTATAAGTTCAATAAAGGAAACAGCGGACTTATCATATCATCCTCGCACTCCTCGACACACGTAATCCCTGTCTTGAACTCGAAGCCTATTATGTCCAGCGTGTCGCGGCTGAATTGGGGAGGATCTCAAGGCGCTGAGTATTTGCTGAAACTGTTGAGATTGAAGTATCCGAGCTTCCCCAGTAAAGTCACCGACTATCAGGCGCAACATGTGGTTCGTGAGCATTGCTATGTCTCTCAAAGTTTCGACAAGGAGATGAGGGGCTTCCTGGACTGGACCGGTTTGGAGAGCCGAGACCATATTATACAGTACCCTTTCACTGAGCACGTTGTTGTGGAGAAGAGTGAGGAAGAACTTGCACGAATCGCCGAACGGAAAAGGGAGGGCGGAAAGAGACTACAAGAGCAAGCGGCAAAAATGAGATTGGAAAAGCTTGTGCAGAAAGAACAGGAATTGGAGTACTACAAAGATCTTCAGCAGCGCCTGGTGGGTCAAACGAAAAAGGAGACGAAACGCTTGCTCGATGAGGATGAGTTCAGAGATGAAGCCCAACTAGACAAGATAATCAAAGACATGGAGAAATCTGTACGAAAAGCCAGGAACAAGGACCTCGGTGTTCCAGACGTCGTTGAGGAGGAGGAAGGAGTTAACTTTCCACTGCTTGACATAGCGGACGAAGAGCTGGATGAGGCAGGGTTGAGACAAAAGAGACATCAACGATTGTTAAAGTCAGGCGTGGAAGCTCGTGCAAGGGCAAAGGTCGAAAAGGAGCAAGAAAGAGCCCGTGTAGCAGAGGAAGAGAGACTCGATGACGAGCGCCGCAGCAAAGACCTTGACGGGTGGTTAGAGGATCGGAGAGTCGCGAGAACGGTGAGACACGTTACAGACCGGAGAACGCTAGGAATTCTTGTGTGCTGATAATTCACTTGCAGGCTCTACTCCAAAAGATCAAAGATAGAGACAGACAAAAGGCAGATCTCGGCAACCGTAAATCACTTGCCAGCCAGATGCGTATGAAAACACTCGCAAACCTGGCCTCAGATGCGCCCGGCAGAAAGCGTCGGCGAGGTGGCGACGATGACAATTTCGGCGCAAATGATGAAGATTGGGGGGTCTATCGCACTGTTGCGATGGGTGAGCAAAGTGAGGATGAGGAGGAAGAAGACCTTGATGCAGAAATGAAGAACGTGGAAGCACAGCTGCTAAAGTATGATCCTGGATTCAACGAGCGCAATACTATGGCTGCTCAGATGGACTGGACAACAAGTCTCATGCATGCTTTTCGACGTGGTCCATGGCCTTTTGACCCGGAAAGCCAGCAGGAAATTCATCAGTTGCATCTCAACGTGGAAAGGATTCGCGTGCCCGAGGTGGTCTTCCAACCTGCTATAGCAGGTCTTGATCAGGCAGGCATCATCGATATCGCTGCCGACATGGTCAACCACGGGATGGGCAAACCACAAGATCGCAACAACATTCTCAGGGATGTTTTCCTCACGGGAGGTAACACGCTTTTCGCGGGATTTGATGACAGACTCAACGAGGAGTTGCGCGCTGTCCTACCTATAGATGCCGCAATGCATCTCCGCCAGGCGAACGACCCGTTGCTTGACGCCTGGAGAGGCGCAGCTCAATGGTCTAGGGAGCCGACCTTTAGGCAAGCTCTCGTGACTCGTCAAGATTACGATGAGAAGGGTTCTGACTATATGAAAGTAAGGCCGCACAACATCCACGAACCTTCGCCCGACCACAACATCTGCCTAGTCTGACGTGATTACTGACTTTCATATTGCAGGAACACAATCTTGGTAACAGCACTACTTTTTAACCAGTCAATGCGAAATAGGAATAATTTGCAGCCTATCTGGTGGGGCCGCTTCAATCGATGATAGCGCGGTTAAAAGGATGATAGCTCGTTTGATCTATACCGACAAGTGGCAGATAGTCACTAGATTCTGCTAGCTAGCTGCTATCGGGGCAAGGGAGCACATGGCCAGTATGGGCGCCGATTGGCACGCTCCCATAACGTCGAGAACCTCATTGCAAGACGTTCCAGCCAAGAAGCTTCACCAATCCGCCAATGCAATCTTCCGAAGCGTCATCATTAAACTGTAACATAACGCTGATTGGGTATCAGGCATACGTGCAGGGGCCATATGTGATTACCGCGGGATTCTTCGCAAGGTCTCGGACAGCAGATCACCTGTTATCAGCATGCGGAGGCTGAGGCGCAGAGCGCATCTCTGTATCCTCGCCAACTCGAGTCCTTTTGTTCGGGTTGTTTCCTCTGTTATAAGGAGATTCGTCCTGTTGGTTTCTGCCTCCACTCATGTCTGCGACAGCTTGAGCAGCAGAAGCTTGAAGCTGACTTGCGGCCGATGATCCCATTGGAGCTGTGGGTGCTGGAATCTGCTGAGTAGGGGGACCCGAAGTCCGAGGATGAGGGATGTCGATGTTCGACGGTGGTTGTGGATATTCGCCTTGGGACTCGAGGAGGCGAGATTGGAGGCTGATGATGTAGTCACGCAGCTGATAGTTCTCTGATTGTAGAGCTTTAAAATTTTCACTGAGGCTGTTGAATTCCCTCACTTGCGTCTCCAGGGTTTTGATGTGCCCTTCTTTTCGTTGTCTGAACGCGCGCTGTAGTAATCTTTTAGTAAGCTGTCTTTGTCACCCAAAAAACTTTCGCGCAGAAAGTCTCTTTGAACCCAGGAGCAAAGTAAGTCTCATAAGTCTCATGAACTGACAACGATTATGGAAAGCCCACCTACCTGAGCTGCTCTATTTTGCGCCGCACGTTTTGACGTCGATAATTCACGCTTGCCACTTTTCCTACCATCGCTGGCGCCGTCATCGCCTCCGCTGTCACCAGCACCTTGGTTCATGACGCCAGTTCCCGCAATCGCAGGATCAATATTGTGGTGGTGGGGACTCGCAGTATTTGACAGCTGATGCTCTGGTCTATGATGAGGAAGATGATGGTTTTGCACCTGGGCGAGCAGCTGCTCTCGGAGAGCTGATCACATCGATGTGTTAGCAATTCCACAGTGGAACAATGAACCCAAAATCTATCGCCTAATTACTCACTCTGGTCCGAGACATTGTCCTGCCACCTGAAGTCAGTCACTGCGCTTTACGAATGAAGTGGTGTTATCGCTTACCTGCCCTGATAATCGCATGGGGTGCGGTGCTGGTGCAAGTGTTGGCTGCATCCTTGGAGGTTGAATGACTAAACAATCTGGTCAGATCTCGAGCTGATGTAATCGTGGAGTCCTCAAATATGTTCGCTCCGGTCTGAGAGTGTGGAACTGCTGTTTAGAGTGCTAGGCTTACACTGTAAGGGAGGTCTTACAACGTCAATTCTGCAGGAGACCCGCCGAATCTTGCCCCAGATTCTGCCTCGCCTGTTCAACACAGCCTCGAGAGATGTGTGAACACTTGTAGTTCTTGACCTTGGGATGTATGAGCTGAATATCGATTGATTATATGATGACTGAGCTATTATTCAGCGGAAGATGACAAGCATCCTTAGCTCGTCGGCAGCTCGGCTCCTTGGATACCGAACGACCCTAATCGTATGGGAACACGCTACTCTGTACACTTAGTATGGGCCACCCCAACGCTAAGGCCACCCCAACACCAATTTTTTCAATAATTTAAACCATTTATCCCTTACCTATCTATTACAACCATAACTATACCTGACTTATATACCGTTATTTAGAAATATATCCAGAAGGCTTTAGTTACTATTACCCTCGAAATAAAGTTCAAAGTTACTCGATTAACTACTGAATTTAATATGTCTTACGATTAACTTCTAAATCGCTATAATAGAATCCCCTCTAAAGATAACTACTCTTACGCGCTTATAGATTATAAAAAATAGACTCTTTATTAATATATATAACGGCTTAATAAATTAGAAATATCTTATCGTTATTCGATACTTAAAAGAATTATAAACTCTATACTTTATAAGCGCTTTAGCTCTATTAAATACGTAAGTAATTATTAGTCTACGCGATTTTTAAAGCGTAATTCTTAATATAAAATATATAAATAAAAGTCTCTTATAGCTTAATAAAAGAATATATATAAATTAGAAGCTATCTAGAACTAATTTTAATATTTTTAAAATATTTATTAAGAGTTTAAAGTATAAATAGAGAATATCTATAACTTTAATAAGACTAAATTTTAAATTAAAATAGATAAAAGTTAATAAATTATTATAGAAGAAATAAAACTTTTATTTTATTAAACGAATATAAATAATAAAGAGTATATTATATTAATCGAGTATATTAATAATTTAAATTATACGCTTTCTTTAATACTAATTTTAATTAGAAAATAATATCTTAATAATTAATTTCGATAAGAGTCTTAATTTTAATACTCTATAGAGTATTAGTAATATTAAATACGTAAACGATAATCTATATAGAATCTAAATTAAATTTTTTAATTATTTTATAAAGAGAAAGTATATAAAGATATATAGATTATTACTATTTAATAACTATAATAGTTATCTTATTAGAGAAATACTTAAATATATAGAGAATAATAATATCATTTTATTTTATTTATTTTTATATTCTTTATATTTATATTAGCTATTAAATATAAATATCTTCTAATTATTTAAATATTAATATATTATAAGAATAAAAGTACTCGAAGTGAATTAATAGACTCGCTTACGTTACTTACTAGATTATAAGCTACGTAGCTAAAGTAAATATCTAATATATTTAGCGAAATCTTAAATACTTATAAATTTCCTTTCCTTTTCTTCTTTTTTTAGTTATTAATTTATCTAATAACTAATCTATTTATTTTATTAATTATATATCTAGATCTCGTAATTATATAATTACTATATAGTTTTATTAAAAGAGATCTTACTATCTTATAATTCTAATAACTTTATTTATATAAAGTTATTTAATTTAGTTATAATAAGTAACTCGCGAGTTAATTCTATTAACTTACGAAGTAAAAACATTTTATTATAATTAATTAGCGATATTTTTAATCTAATAAATAACTTTTATTAAAATACGTCTATTATATAATTAAGTAATTATAATACTAATTCTAATATCGATAGAAATTCTAATAATACTATTAACTGAAATAATAGTTACTAAAGCGTTATATCTAATAATTCTTTATTTATAGATAAAGACTCTTATCTTATAAGCTTAATTTAAATTTAACGCTATCGACTTCTAAAGCTTAATATTAAGAAGTAACTAATTATTAAAAAATTTAAATTAATTAAAATATAGAATATATATAGCGATAATTACTATTATAATTCGAGTTATAAGAAAATAAGTATTATTAAAATATCTAATATATAATATCTTAATAACTATAGCTTAATAATTATATCTCTTTAAGACTAATTTTATCGTCTTAGTATCTTATATCGATTTTTATATAAATAAAGAAAAGACTCGCTAAGCTTCTACTCTCTTAATAAATATTAAGAAATAGATCTAAAGAAATATTAGAGATACGATATTATACGATATCGAAGAATCTATCTAAAAGAAATATAAAAATTAATACTTAAATTAAGTTTATAACTTAGTTATTAAATCTTATAATATAAAACGCTAATTAATTAAAGTAATTATAAGAGATATATAATCGATAATTAGTTTTAATAATTATCTTATTATACTTTAATTATAATAAGATTACTATATAATTAATCTAGAATATATAAAAGATCTATAAAATAGAGTAATAGAGAAAATCTCTCTAAAAGTTATAAAGGAGATTATTTAATTTATTATCTATACTATATTACTATAATAATATTAAAATATAAAATAAAGACTATAAAAAATAAAAGAGCTCTTTACTCTAAATAAGATTTACTTTAATAATAAGATAAATGATTAAAAAAGTAATAATTAATAATATATTAAGTTTAAGAAATAATATATAAAGAGTTAATAAGATTAAAAGAAGAGTTTATTCTTATTAACGTTATAAGATTAAAAGTCTAAATAAACTAAATTTAAAGATAATAACTCTTATATTAAGTCTAAGATATCTCTTATTAAAATATAATATTATAATTATAAATAGCTAGAGTATTATAAAAATTTACTTAAATATTTAAATTACGTTATAAATAATAAAGTATATAATTATAAATTAAATAAGAAAAAAGATAAAGTTTAATACTTATTACTATAGTATTAAATATATTATTAATTAAGTAATAATCTCGCTCTCTATTATTAAGAGACGAAATTACTATATTAAATAAAAAGTATAAAATAATTACTCTAATAAATATCGATAATAAAAAAATCTTTATATTATAATCTTTTATTAAAGAGATATAGATTTCTAAATTTAAATACGCGTTAATAATAATATATATTATCGATAATTATTAAATATTCTTATATAGAAAGTATAATCTAATCTTTAGTTTCGCGAATAATTAAGAAAAAAAGTAAAAGTAAGTCTTAAAGGCGTATACTATAGATATATAAGAATATAATCTTATTCTTAATTTCTCTTAAATCTATAATATTAATTTAAATATTTATTAACGTAAATAGTTTTAAATTTATCGCGATTTTTCTATAAATAATAAAAAGTAAATAGATATTATAATAATAAATATAGAGTAATTTACGTTATTAATTAATATAGTAATTATATATAATCTAAAATAAGCGTTTATTATACTCTTATATTAGATTCTATTTAAAAATAATAAGAATAATTATAATAAAGCTATATAATATAATATTATATAGCTAGATAACTCTAATATATCTAAATAATTTAAGAATTTATTAAAAGTCTTTTTAAAAGAATTATCTAATAGTCTTAATATATATAATTAAATTAAGTACTCTATTAATTTACTATCTAAAAAGCTATCTAGAAATAATTTAATTTATAGTATATTATATAATAAATTTATAGCGATTAAAATCTATCTAGATATTATATTTAAGAGAAAATAAATTTAACTCTTAATTAGTTAGATTAGCTTATTAATATTATTTATTAAAAAATTAGATAGCTCGCTATAATTATATATTAACTATTAAAAATTTAACGAGATAATTATTAAAAATAATTATCTATTATTACTACTCTCGAAGATCTTAGAGAGATTTATATATATAAAGTATTTTACTAAGATTAATATTTATAATATATATTATAAAATACGAGTACGAAAGAAAGATAAGTAAAAAATTATCTTTTAAACTCGCTACGATTAGTTTAAATATTAAATAATATCTTTTAATCTTATAAATATTCTTATAATCTTTTATACTTATATAAGTAAAATACTTAAATTATATATCGATATTTTTTATATAATATACTTAAATAATATATTAATCTATTTTAAAATAAAAGAGTTATATTAAAAATATATATATAAAGTATTACGCGTATTATTAAAGTATTAACTCTATATAAAATTATTAAAATATACTTTTAATTATAATAAAATTATTTTTCTAAGATTTTTAATAAATTAGCCCGATATTTAAATAAAGTTATCGCGTATTAAGGCTATTACTAAATAACTAAAATTAGAATCTATTAAAAATATCTTAATCTTTCTAAAATTTATAAACTTCTATTAATAATTTATATAAGGCTTTTTATAGATAACTACGCCTTTAACGAATCTAACTTAAAAAGTAAAGAAAGATAAAATTAAATTACTCTTCGTATTTAATAAGAAAATATATAAGACTTTTAAGATATTTAAGCGAGTATTTATTATTATATTTATATTAGAATATTATAATTAAAAAATATTACTTATTATAAAGATTAATATTTTTAATATAGATATAGATAATATATTTAGTTAACTAAGCGAAAATAGATAATAATATCTTATTACTTTTTCTAGCTATAAATTTAAAGATATTAAGTCTTATTAAGATATATATAATAGAAAACTCTATATAATTATATTAGACTTTAAAAATTAAAAATATTACTTATAAGATAATAAGTATTCTATTTATATAATCTTAAATTATAATAATTTATATTATTTTATAATAATAAAAAAGTTTAATATAAAGTAGATTTACTAGATTAAGAAATTAGCTATATTTAACTTTATAATTAAATATTATAAAAAAAAATATTTCTATAAATATATTATTAAGAAGATTTAATAATATTAAAT